GTTATTGGGCACCTAACCAGACCTCAAAGCTCATGATTATTAACGATCAACTGTCTGAGTTGATTTTATATCTCTCGAGGAATTCTAAAAAGTTCTCTAACACAAGTTAAAAGTTTAAAAGTGCAGTTGGCCAAGTTCAGTTTGCCAGCAAACTCGATTAATAATTGAAAAAAAAAGAAAAAAATATCATGAACATAAAAAATAGTTTAGTAAAAAAACTTTTCGTATTAGCTATGTTTAAATAAAAAATTTACGTTGCAATAGAGAAAGCATATGAAAATGATGAAAAATAGAAGAGACTAAATGGGGCAAAAGTTGTAAGGTTGGTCAAGTGGTTGATTAGAAAAAAAATAAATATTGGTAACGAATAAACGAAATAGTGCAGTTGCTAATATCAACGAATATTTGACCGCACGTAGCAAGCGCGGCTTGTGCTACATGTCGCCTCGTCTCGTTCACCCACCACGAACGAACGATATCTCACAATAACGACTCTGGAAGCTAGCACAAGGGGATCGAAGAGAGAATCGAGTGAGAGGGACTAGTACGACTGTGCAGCAAAGTCAGTATGGTACCACGTGCACACGTGGGCACGTGAGCAAAAACAAAAGTAATACGGAAAGAAGCTACTGGGTTAGACTGTTAGAGTGAGGACACGGCTAATGCAAGAGAGAACGCAAGTTCTGGAACACATGTTGTGTGAGAAGAATTGGAAAAATGCTCACGACATCACGTTACAACTCATAAATCCCAGTTCGACCTTTTGCCATTGTCCAAAGGTTCACTATTTTTTCTCCTTTTTTTCTCGAGAATTAAATTATTGATAAAACTCGTCACATTTTATTTTCTTTGTGGTTTCCCGATTTTTTAAACTCTTTATTTATTCCTGTGTTTCAAAACTTGCTCAGCAAAAAATACTTTTGGGATTGTGGACACATGTTTTTTTTATCGCTTTATATTTTAATGGATTGAAATTTTTTGCATTTCTGATTTATTAATATTTGATCGACAATATTGTAAGAAGTAACTGAATTCAGTAAAGTCTCCATAATTTGGTTATCCATGAAATGGACAGTTGAGGAAACGAACGTTCATTCGGCTGTCTCCGAATTCATATTATGGAAACTCTATTGTAATCTGGTTTCACTTTATAAATCGATATTTTAATTAGTCGTAACTCTTTTATCTTTTTTTTTAATATACTATTAGTTTATTTTTTATTTTGTCAATTTTAAAAAAGTACTCTGTTTGCTGTGAATACTCATTACTAGTGAACAAATTATTCTAAAACTTTTTTTTTAAAGACACTTTAAAAATACTTGACGTAAAAAAAATCACGTATACGATGGCGTTTATTATTTCTATACAAGTTTCGTTTAGTGTTGAAAAAAACAATTTCTTTTTTTTTTTTACAAACTTTAATCAAAAATTATTTTTAATATTTGTTTTCTAAATTTATATTTATTGATTACAAATAGATATTTAAATTTTTTCGTTTTCCTTCAAAGAAAATTCTAGAAGTAGAATAAGATTGATGTAAAAATGCTGAAAAATCATGTCATGTATAAATATAAGATTGCATACAATACTCCATAGACGACATAAAAAAAAATTATTCATGCATTTTCTACTTCAGTATGTTTAGATTTATATGCACATATAGAGTTCTTTTGAAATAATAATTCTGATGCTTTTCTTTTATTTAATGTTACTACAAATTGCAACATAGTATACATAATATTCTCTATCTTATTTTCTTTTAGACATTAACATTTTATTTTTATACAAGCTTGTAGTAGTTTACAATATTTTGCTTGAATATTATTCTCTTTTAATTACAAAAAAAATTTTTATTCACCAAAAAATTCACTCAATAAAAATACCGTGATTTCATAATTAATTATAAAATAGTTTTAAAGAAGATCTCACAAAGAGTATTTATGTATAAACAATTTTCGTTTATCATTTAAATAAATAAATGTACATATTTTTTGCTATCAAACAGTGTTTAGATAGACTTTTTTTTAAATTTACTTGACGGAAAAAAATTTGTAACGTTATAATTAAGGGCTTACATGGAAGTTAACAAAATGAGCTTAACTAATTCAATAAAAGTACATCAGTAGCAAATAGTGGTATTTAAATACGAGAATATTTTCATAATATTTTCCTAAAAATCATATAAAGGAAACAAATATATATGTATATCTACACGTAAGAGCGGAAATGAAAACGTGTTTATGACTTTGCACTCTGTTGCTATAATATTCGTGTTGCATCACACGAACTCATCCAAATAAGCTGGAAGGACAGCTGTTGCTTCGCAGGTAAAATATACATAACAGTAGGCCACGCGCTCAACAAGATCCAGCGAGACTTTAACACCAAGATTGCTGATATAAAAGATAACCTACATGATAATAACTTTGAGAAGAACTAAGAAGTGATTTTATAGTACCAAGACGTCAATAATTTATGCTTAATAAAAGGCACTTGGGGTTTATTAATCTAGTGCCTGGCATCGATTGATTATCACATTAAGAACGAATGATTACTAACACGATAGCATCGATCGTGCTTTCAAGATATTGACTATGTTACAATGCATTTGACGTGATTTGAGCCTATAGCAAACACCTATTCAACTCACCTACATTGTTAGTGGCGACATAACCAACCTGTCAGTGTATAAATTTTGTGTATGTGTATCACACAACCATCAATATGTTAACTAATGTTCCTACTGGAATTGAATATGCGCTCTTACAAAGTTGATGTTCACCAATCAATCGTGTCATTTCGTTAAGAAAATTAATAGATTATTCAAAGAGATGCCAAACGATCAATTTACTTGCGGTGTGTTACACGATATAAGATACATGCTACAATTTAATAAGCCAGTAATTTATTTGTTATTTAATTACTGAAAAATTGTTGATAAAATACCAAAATAGTTTTTAACATTATTGGAAAATATACAGGAAAATTTTCTTTTTAAAATATTCTGTATTTTTAGAGTATTGTTATAGAACTTTTTAATTTGTTCCTCTTATTTGTTTAAAAAATTTTTTATTCATTCATGGGAATTTATTTAAAAAAAAAAAAATAAGAAAAATATACAGTAGAGTGATGAAAAATTAAGTTTTAAATATCTTAGAAAAAGTTAAAAGTAAAAAAGTTTTTAAAAGTTTTGGAATATTTTAATTTTTCAGAAAAAATGTTAAATAGCTTTTGGAAAATATTAGAAAGAATTTTTAAAATATTAGAAAGTTTGTAAAGTTTTTAATAATAATTTTTGTATCTAGAAGTATGCAATAAAGGGGTTTGAAAAGACACCATAAGTTAACATCAAGCTATTTATTTATTTATTAATCAACTACTTAAAAGGCTGAAAATAAATTAAAATGAAATCTTTTTTAACAAACTATTTAAAATTCATCCTTGCAAAAATTTCAAAGTAAACTTTACAATATTGAAAAATGCAGATTTGAATATCTGAGAGAAGAAATAAAAAGTTTTGGCAACTCTTTTTCATCTCCTAATTTTTCTAGAGAAAATGTAAAAATAATTTAAAAGAGATTTAGAAGAGAGTATTTGTAACATTTGCAAAGTTATAAACTTTAGAATCAATAATTCATTTTCTCCAGGTATCTTCCATAAGAGTTTTAGTAGATCCTCTTGTTCAAAGTATGCGTGAAAAAACAAAAAAAAAACCTTCTTCATGTTCACTAATTATTCGCAATTTCCATCATTACTTTTCCTCGAAAAAAAACTTCAAGCATCATTCAAAATTTGCACTCAGTTGTAATTTACTTGTGAATGCTGTGCAGTGAGAACCAAGTCAAGTTCATTAACATTTATTTTATTAAATTAATCAACGATACTAAAATAATACTCCTGTTCATTTATCATATTTCTGAACATTAATAAGTAACTTGAAAATTATCAACGAAGCATATCCTTCAATCTTTCTTCAACCACCTTTTCAACTTTCAAGTTGAATTTTTCCAAGCGAAAAAAATATATAAGTTGTCTAATAGAAAACTTGTGGCACATAAATCAATGCTTTCTGTTCTCACCTTTATGACTTAATTACGACAAAACTAGACTGTGAATCCTATTTTTTTTAATCTAATAAATTCGAATTTTTCTCTCTCTCAGTCATAACCCAATTAGACAACATACAACATGGAACAGATTTATCTGAAGCTCTTTAACATGATCCTTTAGCTCCTTTATTATAATGTAAAACAATGGATGTTGTTGGGCACGTACACAAAATATAGAAACACAAAATGCTGCAAATTACAGTTGTAATATTGAGTTTTTAAAAAAGAATATTAAAGATAGCATTGTTTAGTTGCTTTAGGTCCTTTGCTCCTTATGTTAATGACACTCATGTACTATTTCCTCACTACGCTTCCCTCCTTCTAGTACTGCAACCTGTCTTCTCTCTTTCCAGCCCCTTTTAGCTTCTCGGCTACCCGCCAGGTCTGACCCAATTCTACGGTAAAATATAAAGTAGGGTAAGGTATTGATATTGTTCGCGCCACAAACATCAGTATGGAATATGTGTTTTTGCCTTTTTTTCCCTTCTCTCTCACTCTCTTTTCGTTCTGCGTTAACGAGTCCTGTAAAATGGTGAGCTTTGTACTGTGCGCCAGACTGTGACTTTATCGAGATACGAAGTTGTACCTTCATGGTGTGATCCATGCAGTGCATTTCACAATTCCTGTTCCATTAACCCAGTAAAATAAAGTGGAAAAATAACATGGTTTTACTAAATGTATTGTGTAGCGAGTAGTCAAGCCAAAATACCATTTTGGCATTTTACGTCTCGTTTATTAGTTTGTAAATTTCTTGTATTTTTTTCTCAATTGTTATCATTTATTTTGTTAAATGCTTTGTAATAACTTACTTCTATTTTTTTTTTGTTGGTCTACTTAAAGAACAAAATTATTGTGGGCAATTAAATAATAAAGACTTTGTAACAATTACAGGATGAAAAGAACCAGCTTTTAATTACCAACTTATGGCTGAAATTGGTGAGTTTTTATTATTTTTATTACTATTTAAAGCTTATTTTCAATCTTGAATTTATAGAAGCAATCATTCTCGAAATAGAAATAGTCTGCCAGTTAATGAAACCTTTTAGCCAATTAAGTGATTAATTAATCGAAATTATATTTATCCAGTATATTACTGCCATTTATTTGTATCTTGATTAATATCATCAAATATTTTTAACACATTGACACTAATTTTTTTCTAAATTTAAACGATCAATGAAGCACAAGGGAATCCATAAATCCTCAAAACTGAATATGGTGACAAATTTGAAAAAAATGAAACATTTTTGGTAATGGGGTTCTATAATATTATGCTATTGTAATAAAATGAATATGGGAGGATAAAAATATGCTAATATTTTTTCTATAGATTATCAGGAATTAATAATGATACAATGTATAAGAAAATACATGAATGAAATATTGAATGTTGAAATAGCTTAGGATTCTTGAAACAATTGATAGTGAAAAAGGCACTTGATTTTCATTTCGAACCTAAAAATTGAAAGGTCAATTGCTACGGTATATTAGCCAAGCTATTATTCAGTAGTTTTTTTACTTCATGAATCTAAACGTATTGCAAAAAGCAGCGTTTTTCTACTCTAATATCTAGAGGTTTAAGTGCTCATCTCTCTGTGTTGTTGCAAGAACAGCAACGCAATGACCTAAATTTGATATTGACGATTAGAGAAAGACATTTGTTTTCTTTTATTTTTTTTATCTTCATTTTCTCTAACTAACGATATATTAATTGTTTGAAATTTTTATTGATTTAAATATTTTATTTAAAAAAAAAAATTCATCCCTTTTTGTGAATTTTTGATCTTTTTGTTTGTAGTTATGCCTCTATTTTTTTGTTGATGTGACAGATTTTTAATTATCGCCTCGTTAGTCACCACAGTGAGAGTCTCTAATTTGCATGTTAGCACACATAGTGATCCATTTAATGGGCATTAAATCATTACGGTCTGCAATAGTTCGTTGATCAAACAAGTGTATTGGTTTGTTATGCTAATCAATTTTACTTCTCGATAAAGTTGGGTATGTTTGTTATTTTTACACATGGTCCACATGGTGATGGTTCAAATAATATTTTTTCTATCCTTTTTTAACCTATCGTAAAATGATTCATTTAAATAGAGAGAAATGAAAATCTAATATAATACATCACTCTAACATGATAAATTCATTAATTACATTAGTTTCACAAATTTAATTTTTTTTTATTTCTATTAATTGAATAAAACATTTTTTTCATGTTTTTGATTGAATGTTAGTTTAATTCTGTTAATAGAAAAAGTTTTTATGGTACTAGTTTTGTATTTTCTTCTTTTTTTAAAGAGCTCTCTATCAGATTAATGCTATTATACATATTTGCCAATAAAATGAATTGCTGTTGATAGTATCTAATTATAAAAAATACTAATATTTATGTAACAAATATCAAGTTGTTTCGAATGACCTAAGTGCTAGCTTTGATTCGAATAAAGTCAGGTTAAAAATTGACTTCATAAATTTTTATTCAATTGTTTTTTTTCAACAAAGTAAGATGGTCAGTGACAATAAGCTCAAATTTACTTTCTCAATTGTAACGACTTATATATGACAAATAATTGCTTTAATATAAATTATCATCTTGGTGCTCAAATAAAGCAACTGCATGTGCTGTTATCTGAGACTTTGAAATTGAGTAAATAACTGCTTGGTGCTAATAAATATTCATTTAATATTAAATCTGTAATATATTCACTTGATTCCAATGAAATTTACTGACTACATATTTTATTATTCAAGTTTATTAACAATTTAGAGTAATAAATTTTTTTATTTTGTTTCTGTTATTCACAAAATTCTATAAATTTTGATCGAAACTTCCAAAAAAAGTGAAGTTTTCAAAATTTCTATCTAGATTTTAGGTTTAAAATAAGAATATGTACTTTCAAAACTAAATCTCACCCTCAAGCGGTAATCTAATGTTAGCCACTTACGTCACTTTTTCGATTTATTTCTCAAGATTCTTTTGGATTGTGAAGACAATAAAATACCAACATTGAGGAGAGTATTTTCCCATATGATGTAACTTCACAAAGATAAATGATGCTAACAAAAAAATGAGTTGTTGATATAAAACTTTTCTTTCTATTCATTTTTTTCTTACTCTCCCTCTCTAATACTTTTTTCTACATTTTTTTACATTCTCTTCATTTCCATTCTATTTGAAATCATAAATCTAATATTAAGCCAATATGGTGTATAAAAGAATTATATGTGGCTGTTTGTCTTCCTGCATAAAATTTAAATGAAAATTCATGACAGAAATATACGACACAAAAAAAAGGAAAGTTTTAGTAAACTTTCATAACAAGCATGTTACATCTCAAACTTGGTATTTTTATGATTGTTCTTGTTCTTTTCCGTGCTTTCTGCACGTGCCAGTGAGGAAACTTGTAAAGTTAGATTTTCTTAACAATGTAGATATCCCAGTATATCTGTAAAACAGAACAAGAAGTATGTATATATGTTAAAATTTTTATACATCTCAACATCATATTTATGCTTCGATGTATATAATAAAAATTCTTTTGGCACAAGAATACCAATTTTTGACAACCGTAAAAATATTTATTATTATTATCCTTATAAATATATAAATAATTATCATAATATCATGCTGAAATACTATTTTCAAGTTCATACCATAAATTTTATCTACTGCAAAACATAAAGTTTCATCGCCGAATTAGTTCACTCTTTAAACTATTGCATGCATTCTATAAAATTAAGTACGAGTCTCATGTTTATTTTTGCTCATTTACTATTTGGCAATTCTTGGGTAAACGATACTAGGCTAGCATCACATCAACTGTCAGTTTTTTTATTAGTATACAAAAAGTAAGGGTTATCGAGTTAAAACATACCGTTTGGGGTCAAATGATCCCTCTAGAGAATAAAATGTGCCCAAGAGTAAATAGACTTTCAGATAAAAAAATATAATTTATTCAGTATCCCGAGTATTCATCCTATAGTATATGTTAGAATAAATTCAGATTATATAGCCATAGAAGAGAAATTAAAGAGAGCTTAACTATTCTTCCTTAATAAATTATAGTAGATTAATAATGAATTTTAGTAATAGAAATAAAGTTCCTTTGCTTTATTGAAAATAAATTGTCAGATAATCAGAAGAAAAGGTAAATATTTTTTTTTATCATGAATGATAATGTGAAATGACATTTAACTTAATAAAATAATCATAATTCCGTACCAATTACTTGATACAATTTAATGAATACACACAAAATTTGAAAAAAAAAATTGATTCAGTAACGGTTGTTCAGTGTGAACAATGAATGAAAACAGGAATGTTTTCGTTAAATAAAATTGAATATATTTTGCCATTTATTTGTTTCGTTAAATAGATTGGATCTGACATCATTTATGTTCTGATCAGTCTCGGTGATGTTTATAAATAAAACAAATAAATTGATTCAGTGAATAATTTGAACGTGGATGTTATTTCGGTACAATTAATTTTCTCTAATAGTTTACATCTTGTTTTACTTCTGATCTTCCTGGTAGGTTGGTATAAATGCAAATACTAGTATTAATAGATACGATAAAGGTAGATAGTAGATTCAGGAAGTGCAATTTCCTGTGGCTTTTAATCAAATACTTGAACCGGGTGTAAAATAGAAAAGGTATGCAAGGAGTAACGAAAGAACTGATAAGACAGATCAAGTAATAGCATAAAGAGTGTTACTCAGTGGTTCATTTTCTATAACTTTTGATTTGAGAAAGTTCTAGAATCAATTAAATTGAAAACCTCCTAATCTTTTAAGGCATTTCCTTGTCTTCTGCCGGATAAGTTTAGGTCTTTCGAAAATCTTGCATATTCACTCTTCACTTCTTAATCTCAATTTTACTTAAGCTTTTATAATGTTTCAATGACTTTTACAGTCTCATTTGATATCTTGATTATTAACATGTTGAATATTAATTAATGATTAATATTTTTATTTATTTTATTGGTGGAGATGATAAGATTAATTGAATACCAGTTAATATTATTTAATTATTTTCAATATGAATTTAAAAAAAATTTATACACATTTACACAAATGTTTCTAAAGGCTTTTTTCAATGAATAAAATTCATTTTTGTATTGAATAAAGCAGTATTAAAAATTTTCATTTTAACTCCACTTTTATAGTTGAATCCATTCAAATGTCACTCTTGGTAAGTTGTATTAATTTATACTAATGGAAATTAATTTAGAATAAAGTGCATTATTAATGTACATTATGAAAATTAATTACTCGGAATTTTGTTGATTAAAACGTTATTTTTCTGTAATAAGTTTCAGTTTTAATTGAATAATATTAGTTGTAACTCCGAAAACGTTTTTTTTTTATCAAAAATTTTTACTCCTTGTGATAAGTTAACCAATAGACGTTGGCACAAACCTATCGATTCAAATGATCATGAAGTCAATGAAATGAAAAATGAAATTACAAAAGACTCTCGTGAAGGAAATAATATTAGAAATTGTTCATCCTTGGAGTATACGGTAGTCTCAGAAGCATAAATTTCTATCAGTGCTGCGGAACAAATGCGTCACATGCCTAGTTTATTTCTACTATCGCGAGTTTAACGATAATGCCTCATTTTCTAAAATTAAAGTTCCACGAAACTTCTCCAGTGCATCTTGTTATATAAAACCACGATGACCAAAATGTTCCAAAGAGCTTAAAGAAAAGGGACAAATACAAAGTTAACTAAAATTATATTCAAGTGAACTCAACTTCATAAATAGATTCATATTAGTTATGCTTTTTAATGATTCTTCATTCTGCTATTATGTTTCCAGACCAATATCTCTCTCTGTTTCTCATTGTACTTAATTCACGCCTCCAGCTCTGTCACTATGAAATACTATGGTACTTTTTCCAACCTCTGTCATTACTCTTCTTATTATGATTATTTTAGTTATTGTTATCGTCATTTTTTTTTATGCAGCTATCAGGTGTAAGGTTTTCTACGTTTCATGATTATTACTCATTAATTATTTTTACTATTATCAATAAATTCTAGATAATGGACTGAAAAAGTTTATCGTTCATATTCTTTTTTATTATTATCACTTTCCCAATATTTTAATCATCATCAACAGTAGATTCAAATACATTTGAGAAGAAGTAAATAATTTTTCTAAAGTCTTTATAATTATGGCAATAAATCATAAAAATGATATCATTTTATTTTCAATAGTTTTTTCAGTGTAATAATTTAGTAAAAAAACATCTCATTTATATTGATTGAATAAAAAAATTTCGTGGATGCCTCAAAAGTGAATCCAATTGTTTTTATTCAAACTGTAACGCTTAACAAAACGTAACCTTTTTATATAAATTTTCTTTTTTTTAATATTATCATTGCTCAGGCTTTATCTGTATAAAATTACTGGGTTTTTCTTTTATCGTTAATTCCCTTTTTTAATTTTTTTTTACTGCAGTAAGATAATGGTGAAAAAGGTTAGAATATTTTGAATTTGGCAGTAATTGAAATTGTTGAAATTCTTGACTGGGAGATTCCGTAGACTTTAGCAAATGCCATTAAAGCTTGTTGAGTTTTCGTTTGTCGAATGCATAAAGCATTACTGACTGAATCCAATGAGAGTATTGAAAAGATAGATTTCAAGGAGGAATGTAAGAAAATAGATGTGGATTAAAAAAATATTTGTGTAATTTGATACATAAAAGTTAGAAGTCGTATGACCAAACTGTATATTGTAGTACGTAAGTCTCTTCAATTGGCACATTATTCCAATTTTCAGTACCACTGCTATGAAAAAAATGCGATCGAGTGTTTTAGAAGTCACCTCTTGCTGCATTTCCTATATATACTCATGACCTTTTTTCAGTATTTTTTTTCCATTATTCACGAACTGGAAAGTTGGTGCAAAGCGAATTTTCATTGCTCAAATGAAATTCTTCAGTGAAATAAAAGAACAAAAAAAAGGATCACAATTGACTAAACTCAAGCTAAAATTGATGAAAGTGTTTTAAACGGTTATTTAATTTCCGTTGAATTCGATTTTCATTATTTAATATTATTATGATTATTAAGAAGAGTATAGTAAGAAAATTTGTATTTCAAATAGGAGATAAAATATTCAGATAATAAACAGGAGCTGGAGTCTTTTTTTTTTACAGAAAATTGAGTAAAGATAAAATGACATGAAAAATAATATGAATTTCTCATTTTTCAGTAAATTCTTTGAGCAAATCGTATAAGACTACATTTATATCGTATTGCACTCGAAAGATACGTGATCCAATCGATGCAAGCATCGACTCTTATGGCAAAAAGATTTTCAATAAAAATATGGTTCTATAAATCAATAATAAAATGATATAATAGGTCTTGTTCTGACATTTGAGATACGTATTATTATTGATTGAAAATGGACATCTCGGTTTCAGTTCACATGTACTTGATATTTAATCAAAAATAAATGAAGTAGAGTAAGTAAAGCAATAGGCAGACATTGATCTCGAAGATGAATCAAAAAGAGAAAATGAATGTTTTTATTAACCTTGACAATATCATAAATAGCTATTTAATAATAAAAAAACAATTTATTATATCAAACAATCAGAATTGATAAAAAAAATATTTTCCAATTCATAAAATGAGAACGATTTTTTTTTAATCCAAGTGCAATCTGAATCATTAAATGGTGTTCTCGTTATCCATCTTTTAATCTCAAACATCTACCTATTGTTCTTTTTATCTAATAAAAAAGAAATATGAGGTTTTAAGGGTAGTAGATAAATTAGATAAATTTGAAGGACTATTGCCAACAAAAGTAAACTACATAATTTGATGTTATCTTTCAGGAGTGGAATGACGTCAATATGAGGTGGAATGTTTCGCAATATGGTGGAGTGAAGGACCTCAGAATTCCGCCCCACAGATTATGGAAACCCGATGTTCTCATGTACAATAGGTGAGTTCAGACTAATTGACTTGTAAATTATTTCTATGGACTTTATCACAATTATCTACCTAAATATTAGACTATCTTTCTCCCTTTATGTCGTCTCAATTGTCAAGTTTATGCATTATGAATTGCGAATTTTCGTCTCACAATAAGCTATTTTTACTATTAATAAGCAATTTAACTAGACGTCTGTTTAATTTCATATTTTATTATCAACCTTATGAACTAAATATTGACGAAAAAAAAAAATAGAAAAAGATTAAGAGATTTTTAAATAAAAAATATTTGTAAAAAAATCTTTTATTTCAATTAACTCAAATGCAGTGATATTTATCTTAGACTTTAATGAATCAATCTGTCTCTCTCTAGCAAATCGTAAAGATAGCTCAAATGTTAACGACATTTGTAATTAAATAGCTAGCCAAATTAATTGTCAAAATCAAGATTTATTACTGCAGAGCAAATACATCGTTTGTAGCTACTGGACCTTTTACGAGCATTGCCAAATAAATTTAACATTACTATCATTATCATTCGAGAAAATTTAACGATTTTCATCATTATTATTTATTATTATTATTATTTCCATCATTATTCTTTTTGTAATAATGGCTGTAGACAAATTAAAACTTATCATACTCAAATAAATTTCATTCATATACCTGGATAATAATAAGTTGATTTTCAACGTATTGTTTTGTATATTAAAATGATTATAATTATGTCATTATAATATACAGACATTAATTTTATAACATGAAATTCTACAACCACATTCTCAACACACTAATGATTTTTTAAAAGTGAGCTCTACCTAACTTTGAGCTTTATAAAACTTTACTTTAACTTTTCAAATATTAGCAGCTTTATTAAAAAATCTGTTAAGGTGAATGAACTACTTTATGTAAACAACACTTAGAAAATTAGTTTTAAATGTTCAAAAAAAAATTTTTTCTCTTCACCTTTTCATCTTAACCATCTTTTTATAAATCAGAATATTCCTATTACATTAGTTCTGTGCATCGAGTTGTAGATCATTTAAAGAAAAAGACTGAAAAAAAAGTTACAAATCATCTTAATGTGATATTAAATATTAAATGAAAATTATATAGCATGATAATCTCAAAAAGTATTAACAGAAGGTTGGTGAATAAATTATAATTCACTGAATAAACTTGTCGAATTATTAGGTCTTAAATCATGGGATTTTTTTCGTGGTAAAAGGATAATAAAAGAAATACAAATCATTTTTATAGTCTATAGAGTCGTCGCAAAAATATTGAGATTCAAAAAAATAAATAATTCATGATTGAATTGGTATTCGGGATTGTTCGACCGTTTCTCAAAGTATGAACGTGAAAGCCACTCACTGAAATTGAGACTATGGATCAGAAGTAAATGCTGGAGAATATTGGAGATAAGGCTTTACCTCAGAAAGGACGAGCTGGAAATCACAGAGGAAATTCTTAGAGAGCCGCAAATTTCGATTAGTACATCGCTGGAAAATCTGAAGAGCAGCGGCCAAGGGATATATATATATATGTAACATAATACTAGGGCACACGAGATTCCACACGTATAGAATATATAAGCGTGCCCAGAATTCTCATGGTATAGCAGCAGTAACAGCAGGATCAGGCTGAGAAGTAGAGACTGCAGATAAAACAAAACACCCACGACGACAACACCTCGAATGCTTTTCTGTATCATGAACTGGGTATATTTAATTCTCATCGTTGAAAGTGGAATAAAGTGCATATGATGATGCCAACATCATATAACCTATTGGCGTATTATACAAACTCTGCTGTTTGTCTTTTGCGGTATAACTTTTGTTGCATCATTTTATATTACTCATCTACGTATATCCGTAAAGTTTCTGCTGTTTAATTAATTCAAACGGTCAAACTAAAATACATATTCATAAGTTAAACAAACGAATTGGAAAAAATTTCGCTACTTTAAATTATTCTCTATTTTTTGTTGCTCTTTAAATAAAGAGATAACCAAAAGAAGTTGGTTAGTTTAAAATAAATTCCAAAGGAAATTCCAGTAATATATTTACAGTAGTATACCTGCATTGGAAGAAAGATTTTGCAATAATTAACAAAGTTTGTTGATAGTTAAGAAATAGCATATTGGAATACTGTAAAATATTTTTAATTAAAATTCAATATTTATTAATTATTTCAAGTCATTAATTAATTCATCCAAATTGTATAACTGATTTAAAAATTTTTAGGTAAAAAAAAATGGTTGTTCTTAAATATTAATGGAATTTTCTCGATTTATTTTTGATAAAAAATCTAAGAATAATCGAAAAATGTGAATTTATGAAATTCATTGGCAAATTCCGTCAGAGATATTTAATTGTTGAATTGATTCCAAAATATTTTCTTGAAATATTAACGTCGAATTTCAGAATTCATCTATTCATCAGTTATAACCAAATACCTCTCTTAATGCAAACAATGTACATACAACTAAAATTTGAATGAAAGTAGGATAATAGTAATACACTAAATAATTCAACTTATTACAAAAGATATGGCTGGAGAAGTTTGATATATAAATGTTTCATATATGGCTTAGGGTTGTAGTTGGGATCGGAGTAATCTCGTGGTAACATGTACAGCCCGTTGACCTCAACGGATTGTCGTGCGGAGATGAAGGAAGTTGATAGAGTTGGGAAATGGAGAATGGAGATCCCTCTGTTCCTCAACGTGGTTCTACGTCCGATTGGCTTCTGCATTACTCATGTATATCAGCAATACCTAGGACCTTAGTACATAGAAACCTTACATGTATAATGGCAAATACAGACGCGTTTCCGCCTACGCTAGAGCACATTGACGCGTTGAATATCTCAGTCAAATTCTCCAACTGATTCTAGGCCATACAAACGTGTATAACTAGCAGTAGACCTGCAGTCGTTCCTCTTTCTCCCCTTACTCTTATTCCAACTCAATTTGATGTTGCTGTGAGTGGAGTTGGTGCGATTAGTGCGATGTAAATATGAATCTGCAGAAAGCGCATTGGAGTAGAAGAGAAGGAGAAGGAGTGTTCCTGGTCTATGACAAAATGAGTTCACATTCAGGACACGACTAGCTAGGGTTTGATGGTGTATAGGAGACGTGAGTGGGGTAAAAGAGGAAGAGTAAAGGAAAGACACAGGACTTGGACATACGCCAAGGGCAACTTGCATTAGCCATCGTGGTGCATTCGAGATTTCAAGCTAAAGCAGATTAAATTCGTGTTTGTCGATACGTAATGAGCGCAGGCAAGCGGCAATATACAACGCGGTCGTTCCTGAGCTTTTACGGTATTCCAATGTAGCCACTATACTCTATACCCCCTCACCGACGACGCGTTGAATTGCCTGTGGGCCGTTTCCCCTGGCTTATTGGAACATTTATCAGTTTGGCTCGAGAGTTTACCCGATTCTATTGGCCCTCAGCTTCCTAGTAATTAGCACCGGTTGAGAAATAACAGATTGTTTGTAGAGACTCTTGTGATGTTAAATATTCCAATGCTATTTCATTATTTGTATATACTTGATTATCATTTTAAAACTTTTTCTCAACTTTGTTGAGTTAACATATGAAAAGGATGATGTTCGGGTACTTTCTTAATCTGTTTAGTTTAACTCGCCAGCTTTTGAATTTAGTTAAGGAATGCGTAAAACCATATTAGAGTCTTTCAACTTTAAACAAAACAATTGTATACAAGTAAATTGTCAAGTGACTTTAATGTCATTTTACAATTGTGATAATAAGGATAATGAAATCTGACTTAATTTCAGGCATTTTGAAATATATTACAATGTACTGAGGCATCTATTCGCTCATTTGTGGAGTTGAAATTAAATAAAAGTAAAATTGTTTATTGAATTGCGAGTCTAGAGTGGTAAATTCCAAGTGAAGTATTTATCTCAATTCTAAAATTGTTTATTACCAACAATAGTGCATAGATGAAACTTCATTTACTTTTTTTTTATCCATTTGAATTTTTTTTTTTAATCTTATTCTTTTTACTGCTTTTTAGTTCATTCAATTATTTTTTTCATTAGCTTTTTTTTTGTTTTTTTTTTTTTGACCACCTTAGTGACAGTTGGTCTTGGTTGAGTAGAAACGTAATAGCTAGAGGGTGAGAACAAGATATGAATTCGAAAATTAACGTTAATCACATCGTCATTAAACGAGTGATGGTAGTTTGTAAAAGAAGATGAGGTGAAGCAGCAGCTGTCAAACTGCGATGGTTTTTATCAAAGTAAATTTCACGAGAAAGATTACGATAGAAGGTAAAGTTGACTTTGATGGCGATAAAAAAGACCATGGTAATTATTTACAATTGGAGCTTTTATCAAATCATTTTTTTTTTTATTCTTGGAACAAAGATAAAAAATTACTTGAGAGATAAAAAATATTACCAGGTTCTTTCATCAATTTTAATTTAATTAGGAAGTTTAGTATAGTATGTTTAATAAAATTAGGCTGTAGAAAACCACGAAAAAAAGTTAGAAGATAATTAACTGTTTAGAGAGTGGTCAATTAATGATTTTAAATAGTCGTTAAAAAAAGGCGTTTATCTTTGAAGAAATATTTGAAAACAATTTGATAAAAATCTTAATTTTATTTTGTACCACTATTTTTTACTGTTAGAAAATGGCAAATCCCAAAAAAAAATTTTTTCCAAAGAGAAATCTCATTAAAAAGTCATTCTTATAAAACTAATTTTCGCAATTTAAATAATAGCGACTATAATTTACATTGAAAAAAAAAATGCCGCTGCATAAAAAAGCTTTAATAGCAAATACTTTTTAAAATAAAATAAACATTTCAGAGATAGTATGATACCAGTTTGAAAAACAAAATGTGACCTTTCCAAATACCACCTACACATTTTCTAAGCAAGTATCACACAAATAACGAGGATTTCAGAGCTTTTTAGTTTGATTTTCCATTACACTTCCATACAGATGAGAATCCGCGCGAAGTTATTCTTTCAAGATTTTCTCAGCTACAAAAAGAAAGAAAGAAGAAGGTAGAGCACGAGAGACTGATGGAATATATACGAATGTATATACACACAAGACTGGGGGATGATGGGAGTCAGAGGAAAGGGTAGATTCAGAGTGCTTTCAAAAAGAATGCAATAGCGGATTGGGTTGTGGCCAACTGGCCGGATTCCAACCAATCCTCAGTCGTCCAGGATGTAGGACCAGTGCTACTATGTATAACCATTCAGCTTGACAGCATAACTCTGGTTTCTGAAAACATCTCGCTAGCTTTTCATTCAAAATCGTACCTTATCAATGATGCATCCATATATCCCACCAATGGAAAGTGGTAATTCGGAAACTGCTGTTGTTGTTACCCACCTCTATGACACTAACATTGCTCAAGGACTATAAATTTCGTATGAGCATCCATGCTATCCTTTTAGTACATCTAAACAACTGCAGTTAGGGAAGATAAAGCTAGGGAGAATTCCAAAATTATCATGTGAAAATTGTTAATACTAGGTTGGAACAAAAGAGGAAATAATAAGTGAAATTATTATTGATATTCATTGATGAGGTACAACGACATTTATTTGTAGTACCAGTAGTGTATGATAATTCGATATAATTAATCATATTTATTGTTTGCTAATGAGCATCAATTTAATTCTAGTATTATTATATAATTCCGCAATAATATTTAGTAGAGAAACTATGCTGATTTAATATGTGAGAATTTTTGAAATTTGATCAACGAGAAGTAAATTAAAATACTTTGGTCGATTAAAATTGCAGAAAGGTGACAAAATGGATGAAACAAAAATTTCATTTATCTAGAAAGTAAATTCATAGATATACGATTGACGATTTTATAATATACTAATTCAGTATTTCTAATGAATTTAAAAATCCATTTTGTCTACATAAATATTTAATTTTATTTTTATATCAATTTTGGTAAGTGTGAAAAATCAACTTTTTCTAGATAAAAAAAGCTGTTAATAGTTAATTTCAATCTGAAAGTCGAGCTTTTTTTAAACTTGTAGTTTCACACTTTCTCTCTTATTATTTGAAACATCAAAAGTTGACTTTTAACTTGTGGCCAACTATTGGCAGATCTTTAACTCTACACTAATTGAGAACCATTCCATTATTTTTTTTATTCAAATTGATTTTATTAAGCTTGAAAAAATAAATGAATCTTTCAAATAAACAGTATAAAATATTTTTTTAAATTAACTCAGTATATAGCTAGCACATATCTAACGCTGCACTCACTAATCCATTTAAAATAGTTTAAAAAATGCAGAAAGATCAAGATTGATATTTATAAGTTCTCTTTGATTATCTGTAAGAAAAAAACCTGGATAAAAACATATTTTGACGAGTATTTAAATGAATTTAAAATGAAAAATAACTTCTCTATGAATGGTTTATGTGCTAAAAATTGTGAAATAAATTTTCCACCCTATTGTAATAATACCAGTCAACATAAATTTCGTTTAATATATAACTATTCTATAACTTACAACATTAATCCAAAATTTGTAAGTTTTTGGCAACATAACAAAAATTTTTTCATCCATGTTTCACTCTTAATCAGAATAAATGTATATTTTGTGGTCAAAGTCGAATAAGTTCTGATGTTTTTAATTTAATTCAATGATCTTAATTAAATATTTATTATGATTTTATTTTTATTCATATTTAAGATTGATGCATTTATTGGTTTTTTTTTAAATTGACATTACTAAGAAGAATCGATTAATTAATACTAATCGAAGCTCATTTATTTATTATCCACATAAAGTCATTGAAAATTAAGCTATGTATTAGACATATTAGACTCTCATATTGAAATTGCCTCTATACATATACCATGTGTTGTGCACTTTAAATGTACTTCGTGTTTCTGGCATATATCCCTTTTGTTGATTCTATACTTCAATTATTGATTATTTGAGAATTAATGTAAACGTAGAAAATCCACTAATGACAGTTTAGTTCTTATTAAACGAGTTATAAAATTAATAATTCAATTAGAAATGAAGTGCAGGAAATATTTATAAATGATTTGATAAATTATTGGCATAATAATATTACTGAAAAAAATTGCTTTAAAATTATTTCAGAAGCGAATTTTTGTGTTAAAATTTTCAATAAATTTACATTGGTTAATTGAAAAAAAATACAAGTGATTTATATACTTACTCATTTACATCTGTCTAATGAATTATATAAATTTATTGGCATGTCAGTACAATTACATTTACCTCAGTTGAGTAAATTAAATGTTTTCCTTTTACTTAAATGAACTTTTTTATTCTAGAATACTTGCATTTACCACAAATGGAATATTTATTTTATCAAGAAAATTTTATCAAATTATATAAAAGAAAAAAGACTATTAAAGTTTCAATTCGGTTGTAGTAAATACTCATCACACTATATTGAAAGCTTCTGCAATGTCAACATTGAAGATCTCACAATGTAACATTGGAATTTTCACGTTGTAACTGAAACTATTCCAATGTAACATTGAACAGATTCCTACGTTATATAGCGAGCTGCACAATGTTAACATTGTGAAAATAACAATGTGAATATCACCTTGAAACATTGTAACATTTACATTTTTTTCTCTTACAATCAAAGTTGTTAATATCTATCTGTTTACAACGAATAATACTTTGAGAACAATTTCTCAGTCAGCATTTTCACAAAATTATTTTAATAAATTTTATTTTCAATTACATACCACACTGTTTATTCGACATGGTTAATAATGAATGTGATGAATTTCCTGGCACGGATAAAAGCCTTAACTGGATTCTACAATAGAATTCTACTTTTTTTCAATTGAAAAACATTTGCGTAGTTTTCATTCAAAGTACTAATAGGTTAACCATATTTACACGATTAATTGAATTTCTCAAATACGATTCGTGTATTCACAATGAAAACAAATGATGTCATGATGGGAACTATTTCCATGTGATTGTTATAAAACATCAAGCAGAGAATATAGAAAGTAAATATACATATGGGTTGACATCGAACAGTATTTTAGTTTAGAATAACGAGAGAAATAAAGTATGTTTCTTGAGTTTATAAATGTTGAATTAATGAAATATGTTTAATAGACTATAATTATATATTAGTTGTAGATATTGTGGTAAACAAGCTGGTAATTGTACACACACAATCAGCCGACACTGATGAATAGTGAAACATTATCGGCATTGCACTTAACCACAAAGTTTTCTTTTATTCATATATGATTTAATAATTTATGTCATCACTGTCCACTGAGAATATAACTGTATTTAAAAGCAAACATCGCAGTAATGTATTTCCCATGTTCACACGAGCTGAGAGAAGTACACGTTTTACATTTATGCACTCTGAACTTCACTATATCTCTTGTCAAGCAACAGCCACAGATTTTGCTACGCGAAACTGGGCTGGATAAAGATATAGGATGAGGTGAGTGTGTATTTACTTGTGATACTGAGATTACTAATACTATCATAGTCACTAGTGAACTTGTGCAGAAGTTTATATAATGAAGATAAGGGATAAGTAAGAGAACTTGCAAATTATACATTTATTTCACTTGTTTCAGTGCTGATGAAGGCTTCGACGGAACTTATCCGACTAATGTTGTCGTCAAAGATAATGGAACTTGCCTCTACGTGCCACCGGGTATTTTTAAAAGTACCTGTAAGATCGATATCACCTGGTTTCCGTTCGATGATCAACGTTGTGAAATGAAATTTGGCTCGTGGACCTACGATGGATTTCAGGTGAATATTTCATCATTTTTCATCCTTATATTGAGGAGGAAAAAAAATTTTCCAGTAATCCTTATTGAATTTTCCTATTCATTATAAGTCGAGAACAGTTTGAGTGATTTCAATTTAAAAGCTCTTTTCTGTTATGTTCTAACATAATTACAGAATTAATTAAATTTGAATTAAATTAATTTAACTATCTTTAAAAAAATGAATGAAAAAAGATTGATTTTACAAAATGAATATTTACCGGCCTTTTAATAAAAAGAAGTTTTTTCATATTCATTTTAAGAGATATGGTAAATTGAATCAGAAGAAGTTTTTTTCATTAATTTCTTCTTTCAAATGTTGAATTAATATCAGAAAAAAAATTTTCTACAGTTCTTTTGAATAATCGATACTGTAAACTATTGAAATCTTTTTACTATGTTAACATTTTCAACACTTTAAACAATAGATGTTTAATTAATTAAATGGCCAAAATCTTCAATCGTTGACATATCGTGAAACGTTCACTCACGAAAAGCATAATTAAATAATTACATTACTATTTCGTTAACTCCAATAAACTGTGATCTCTAAGTCTATCTACTTTTTATATCAATATTGTCATGCTCAATAAAATTTAACGACAAGTATACAGTTAAATAGAAATACTTAATGCATGCATTAATAAAAATGAATGAAATACTATTGTCACTAAAATCTCTAATAGAATAGTGGATACTTTATGGAATATTATTTGTATTTTATGTTATATATTACATACTTTAGATCAAAATTTTAAAAACAAAGTCTGACTAATTACAAAAACATTAACTTTCAATAATTCTTTATTTTTTGTGAATCTATTAGTGATACTCTACTCACTTTATCATTTCCAATCGAATAAAATTAAAACTTTATTGTTTTTTAAAGTAACTAAAAAAATTTAATTTCGATCTACAATAAGTGATTTTCCAATCGACCTCTTAAAAGAAATACCTCTTGTTTTATTAGAATAAATAGTTCAGTTGGCAAATATTTATGGAAATTCGAAGACTTTGTCAATTTGTCAGGAATGAATCGGATATCTTGTCGAGCGTATGCACAAACAAATGAAATTTGGGAACAGAAAGAATTTAGTCTATGCGATTGAACCTTCGCTTACGAATCTCAGACGATAGATGTAATCCCATTTATATTCAAAGCCTGAGGCCATTATTACTTTTTCAATCGATTCTTCATATTGTCAAGGAACATAACTAAAGAATCCTGGAATAGAAGTTGGCCTTATTTATTTATTTTAATAATACCTTAAACTGTCAAGGATAATCGTTAAATCGAATAAAGGAAAAAAGTCCAAGCATTGTCTAGACAATAGTTATTAAATATTTATACATGGCCAGTTTTAAGTTTGAACAAATCTACCAACATTGATAGAGCAAAAAAAGTTGCCAATACTGATGTTGATTTATTTATTCATAAGTCTATTTATTGTAATATAACCCTTGTTATTCTCTCTTTTTATGATGTTCTTTTAAATACCTTCAATTTGTATTAAATATTCAATATTTATCAATGATCTATCTGTCTCAACATCTTCAAAAAAAAAAGTAAATCATAATTTAATAAATTATTCTATTTACTCTAATAGAAGTTCCAATATTAGCTGATGCTTTTGTGCTAATTATCGAAAAAGAATTTTATGAATTTTAAGTTAATTTATTAAAATTTTCTTCAAAAATAAAAAACAAATGTCAGCAGATATTATTACATCAGTGCACAAAATGTAGATGAATACTTGAACAATTTTTTTGGGGTCTCTAAAATGATTTACTTGGTTTTATTTTTATCCAATTATTTCAACTACTTTTAAGATATTTCTCGAGAAAATATATCTAACAAAAGAATTTCCAACAAAATTTAAATAATATATTTATGAGAATATATGTAAATATAGTCTAATATTATATGATATAGCCTTAAATACTTGTCGATTTTTAGTGAGTTTTTTGTGAAAGGATTCTTACTTTGAAAAAGCTCTTTTTAGATGCGATTCAGCGAAAAACTCAATTTTCTCACCAATTTGATTCCCTTGAGATGATACAGTAGTTCATTGAAAATATATTCTGCAGTACTGCGGTAGCTCAGCAGTGTATATGTTTGCACATTTATCTAAGATATAACAATATTACTATCATTTATTTCATAAAAATAATCCTTTTAGCAATATGAAAGTTAGTTGACTGATATTAATTGAGTGTTTGTATTTTCTTCAGCTGGATCTTCAACTGCAGGACGAGTCTGGTGGAGATATAAGCAGTTTCATTACTAATGGCGAGTGGGATTTGCTAGGTAAGTTCATATTTATTGTATATACACTATCCAAAAACTATAACTAAACTTTTCAAATCCTTTAGAATAAAAAAATAACATTATCATTTCAAGTCTACTACCTAACATTTATCTCATGAATATTACTACAGATTGTCTTCATACATTATTTTACAGTAGCATTCCTTGTTTCTTCAAAATCTTGTTATCATCTATTATCTACGTGTAAAAATATTCCATTTTACAGTTATTTCCGTAAAAAATTTAATTAAACAATAAAAATTGGAAATATCAATTGATTTAAATAGTTATAGTTTAAATCATTTGATTATTCTAGAAAATTAATATTGATTTTTTTTATCTCGACATATTATAGTTTTACCTGGATTGTTAATTGAAAATCTGTTCAATTATCAGTGTCAATGTTTGTTTAATAAAAATCAATTCATCATAAATAGGTGGTTAATCACATGCATTGATTGCTTATGAATGTTGTCACAATTGAACGTTTTTAAAATTTGTTTAAAAAATTAATTTCAATTCTTATATTTGTATAGATTTCTCTCGATAGGATAAAATTATTTTTCGACTGTTATCAATAAATTTTATATCACGAATGTGATATAAAGTAATATTTTTTGTTCTCGAAATGATTAAAATGTCAAGGATGAATGCTATGTCAAGCATCGTAGACATTACTCCATGAATAATAAAAGCTCGATATTGATATATACAAATTTTTCCTATTCACATATTGCACATCCTGACATGTTTATTTTTCGTCTTTATCAAGTATTATCTGTATCGTTTATCTGCGGTGACCCAAACGAACCCGATAATCTAACGTACGTGGTGGACTTGAAGAAAACGTAGTTTGAAAAAGAGAGAGAAACTTTGTCGTTGCTAGCTGAAAAACGATAATATTTTTCCCTCATTTTCTCGCAGTGTCTGTCCTTAATGTGGAGCACGTACTCCCGACACTGCAGTGATCCTTTTTATCTCCTTTTTCCTTTTTAACTCGATTTTCATCCTTTTTCCGTTTTTTGTTCCGATTTTATCTTCTTTCTACTTAGCTATTCTTTATTCATCGTCTTGATAATTTGTAACTAACGATAAATGGCATCATTTTAGGAGTACCTGGCAAAAGAAATGTGATTTACTACAACTGCTGTCCAGAGCCGTACATAGATATCACCTTTGTGGTTATTATAAGAAGGCGAACACTCTACTACTTTTTTAACTTGATCGTACCCTGTGTTTTAATTGCCAGTATGGCAGTATTAGGGTTCACTTTGCCACCGGATTCTGGTGAAAAATTATCTTTGGGTAAGTTCATTAGAAATCTTTTCATAACTTTATAAAAACTTTACAATCACTTTTCAACAGTCATTTAATTTTATTTTCATCTTCTTTTACTACTTTGTTAATACCTTCACCAGTTATATATGAACTTGATTTCATTCAAGAATATTTTTTCACAATAATTTTAGTATTTTTTCTACACCGTTTGTATGACGAGTATATTCCAGTAATGTTAAATTTTTTTTAAACCCTACTATATATAAACATTTTAGTTAGAAAAATATATAAAAACATTCTAAAAGAAACATTTCATTACAAAATTCAAATTTGAAAATAAATTGAAATAATGTGGGTCATTTTTTAGTGTTTTTGAGTAACGAATATGTGAAAGTCCATTCAATATATTGATTGAATGTATTTTTTTAAAAGTAAATATTGTTACATCTGGATTATTTTTTTTAAAAGATTTTTATCTAAAAGTTAGACAGATAAAAAAAGTTATTATTTACTTACAGAAAAATCTGTACTTTAGAGAAAGCAAGTTGTAATTTTATAACTCTGCATACTGTTGCTGCCTTACTCAGCTCACAGCAATTAATCTTGACGAGCTCATGTAATTATAGTGTGATTACGGCTGAGGCTTTTACAAAAAAAAATTGTCCATATTTCAATAGCATTTTCGTTTTTAGTACTCAAGCAAGTAAAAAATATCACTACTTAGTCAATAAACATGTTTCTTAGCTCTCAACACCTATTTAGAGATCTTCAAATTTCACAGCTTAATACAGTTGTACTTATTGATTCTAATTAAATTAAGCCAAACGTCTGGAAAGTGCATACTTGGAATGAGTATGACTTGATTTTTAAATTCTAAGAATAACAATTATTTTCTTCATCCTTGCTTTTTTTGCTACCATTTTAATTACCTAAATTAATTAGAATTAAAAAAAAACAATGAGTTTTATTGATTTTAATTATCTGAACAATATATCTAGATTAAATGTTTCAAATAGAAATACAATATAATTAAAGTTACAATAATATACTTTTATTCAAAAAAATTAATTATTATTTATTGATCGTTTCAGCAGTTTTGGAATCAAATTTTTTTCACGTGTTTTTTTTATTCAATTTAATCAACAAAAAAGATTTTTATTATCACTGATTTATTCAATATTTTATTACTATGTTAAATAAACTCAACAAAAAATTCTATAAAGTTTTACTCTTTTATAAAATTTCCGATTTAAATTTGATTGAATAACTATATAAATAATTTAAATAAAGTTTTTATCAAGTTGGAATAATTTGATGTAATAATTTATCATTTTATTAATATTTCTTTGACAAACCGGATTATATTTGTTATAATCTCTAGATGAGTATTTATATTCCCTTAGCATACGGAATAAAGCGAATCAGCAATCAGCAGGCGAAAATTTCACTGTTGATCAAGCTGTCATAATCTAGATGTTATTTTAACCCTCATTACGAGAGAAAACACCTGGCGTGAGCTAGTTAAAGCATTTATGTCTTTCTTTCCTGTCCTTCTTCTTGTATTCCTCTACTCGTTCTACTCCGTTACGGTTATATAGACCAACGATTATCGCTTTTCTTATTACTTCACTGTTAACTTGTGATAGATAATTAATGGAACAATGAACCCTTTTCTAGGGGTAACGATTCTCTTGTCTCTCACTGTGTTCTTGAACATGGTAGCTGAGACAATGCCAGCAACGTCCGATGCCGTGCCGCTATTAGGTGAGTTAACTAATTTCCTACGTGTCTTAAAAGACTCAGTATATATGTTTGATTCTCTATAATTGAGGCATCATGAACGATTACATTTAACTATTGCTGAGTAAAGCTCAATTATCTATAGTATCATGCTAATTTATATTTCATTATATTGTTTTAATACTAAATTACTTGGAAATTCAATTATTTTTTAACGGTTTCTAATTAAATAATAACAATAATCATCAAAAAGATCATATGTTTGGAATTGAATTGCAAAGAAATTGTATAACATTCAATAATGGTAAAATAGTTGATCAAAAAATTCTGTGAGTTTTATTAAAGTGGAAAAAAATTCATTTCATACAGTTATTTTTATTTTGTTGATTAACTATTGATATCAATAGTATTTTATGGCTGGTATTCTAGTATCATTGATATTTTAAAAAAATAATATTTGATGACAGACATAAAAGACATGATTGCCAATAGCTTTATATTATTTTGGTGTCAAGAATTATTTTGAATTCATTATTGAATGGATGTTTCATTAATATTTTTCAATTGTCGATACGAATAGTAGAAATTTTAATTAAAACATAACTGATAAATGCTAGCCAATTTTATTTGAAGCTTTTAATACCAGAAAAATTAGATCAAAAGTTATCAGAAGAGAAAAAATGCTTGAAGATAAAAGTTTTTTAGCGCTTTTGTTTATTGTTTTTACTCAGTCCCTGAATTCACTTATATTAAAATGTGAATGTAAAAATTTTTAACAAGGAAATTAATAATAAACAGGGTGCTTTTTTAACTAAAGAAGTAATTAATGACACAAATAAACAAGATTCATTCCTATTGCTGATGCTTGCATAATGAAGAGATACACTTTACACCCCATTCGTTTTTAGGAACATACTTCAATTGCATCATGTTCATGGTTGCTAGCAGCGTAGTCAGCACAATTCTCATCCTGAATTATCACCACCGGAACTCGGACACTCACGACATGTCTGAATGGGTAATTCTTATTAGCTGTAACATATTACTTAAAATCGATCATATTTTATATTATCGATTATTTGATTAGAAAAATGATAAATGGTGATATTATTGGATAATTTTTTTTTATAGGTGAGAGTATTGTTTTTACGTTGGCTACCTTGTGTACTTCGTATGTCAAGGCCTTGTGATAAGAAGGATGATGATGCTACAAAGTCACAAAAGCCTTCTCCTGTTACTGGTAATAATAATAATTACTATTGTTATTAATAAAAGTAATAACAATTTATTAAAAATATGATTAATTTGAGATATTTTTTTAATTCTGGAAATGAATAAAATAAAGCAAAATAATATTAATGGTTACATTCATTAAATAGTATGATGAGTTTTGAAAAAAAATTTCACTCTCTTAATGGAGGGATCACATTGTGACATAGCGATTTTTCAAAGTTACTGGAGAATTTTTTCAACTTTGATTTTAAATGAGCCTGGAACGTATTAAAATTTCTGATGCATACTGAAAAGTTTTCGACACTTTACAAATACACTTTAGTCTATCGCGAAGTAAGTTTAATGCAAATAGTTTTACTTTAATTGCTGGCCAGTAAAGTTTCTTACTCTATCTATTCTTACAAAGTAAATTTGTTCACTTGCCGAACGATTTTCTACTTATTAATATTATAACTTAGGTTACTTAATCGAATAACATCATTTACATTAGCTAAAATTAATCACATCTAATAATCTTTATGCCCGAACACACTTATTTTTATACTACTTATTTTATTATATATTTGTATTAATTTTTAAAAAATTTCTATTATAGGTCCTAAGGCATATGGAGATTTGGAGCTTCCTCAAAGAAGTAGCAAATCTTTACTAGCAAATGTATTAGACCTTGAAGACAATGCACTGGCATCCCACAATAATCTATTAAACAACGTGTATAGCACACCAGGTCCCCATCACCATATGGGTCATGGTCACAGTCATATACATCCAGCGTCACAGACACCTCATCATCATCATAGCCACACTCCGGCGCCAACACCACATCATCAGCATTCGACGCCGCTACCACATTCTTCGTATCCACCACACCAAATAAGTCATACACCACATCACCATCAGCATCCTCCGGACGGTGCCGCACAACCAGTTGAGACGATACTCCAGAGTGCTTGTTTTTGCGCTCGTTATGAGCTTATATTAATCTTAAAGGAGTTGAAGGTAATATATGCTACTTTAGTAGTTAATAGCTCATTACCATCTTATCTCTCATCGTCATAAATATGAATAAACAAAGAAAATTCTCGTCATTATTTTTGGAGTTAATATTTTGCGTAAATAAGTTCTATTATAACACAGTTCCTTCATTGTGTGAAGGGAAATAATTATTCATAATTTATAATTAATAAAACTAATACATGGAGATGATAATTTATAAACTATATGTTATTAATAATTATTTTAATCTTTAAAATTATTTATAATTCATAATCTCGGCTATTAATAATCATTTATAATAATCAAAAGTAATTATCATTTTTAATAAGTATCTCTAATAATGATTTTTGTTAATATAAATATTATTAGTAACAATTTAATTTAATAGTTATCATTCCATATCTTTTATTATAGAAATTTATGAAAATAATTTCACACAAGTTTTGTTTTGAAAAATGTTTTGTTTTTACAAACTCGTGAATTAAATACTCATAAAATGGTAACGATTCTTTTAAATACACGAAAAAAAACTAGAATAAATGTAAAAAATTTCTATATTTTGTTGCATGTTATGATAATAAAACCAATATTGATAATGTTGGCTTTAGGCAAAAAATATTTTCAACTTTTTACCAATTATAGGGTAGAAAGTTATTTTAATGGATGTGAAAATCGAAGCCTGCATGTTGATCATGTTGTATTCTGAGGACTTTACAATGGTTTGAAAATATTTCAAAAAAATTCATACTCCTGTGAATAAATTCGTCAAAGATATTTTTAGAACTGCTAAACTGATTTTGTTCATTAAGAACTCAATCAAATGACCCTTTGATATTTTTAATCAATACTTACCAAGTTAGAAATATAATTGATTCTACTAGATAAAACAGAGTAAAATATTTATAAAAAAATCATGCACTCAGTATGCATTGAAAGTAACTGGAAATAAACTTCATTAATCAAATTTCAAATCATAGAAATTACTCATTATGATATAACAATCAAGTATTTCGACGTTAAATGTTCATATCTATGTCCAGAGTAATGAGGTAATTTGATTCAGCATTTGATGATGGAAATCGATAGAATCCTTCTCTAGATAGTATCAACAAAAGTTTGTACATACACACCAAGTTCTGAAGTATAATCTTCAGGGTCAGTTAACTCTAAATTTTTCTCTCCGAAAAGAAATCACAGAAGAAATATTTATTAATATAAAAAAGAAATATTTCTGCAAATTAAAAAAAAATTATTTTCTTTTAACACTGCCACCTTTAATACAAAGCATATACGTATATATTAGTTGTTTTATCAATTCACACAGCTGGTGAATACGATCAATGACCTTGGTAGGAAATATCCATACAGTAAATCACATAGAATATCAATATACCTAGAGCATCCTGACTTGGCGCAAAATGAATTTTAGTTTATATGAATGTTTGACCAAGGTTATTACGTTTTAAGTCCTTGAAGTTGATGTCAGTTAAATTAAATATTTCAAGTAACACGAAGATCACTGATAAAAATGTTCAAAGTATTTAATGTTTATAATAATTTAATTCAAATAAGATAGAATTATTTAATAAATTTTATTTTTTTATTTAACAGGTCATCACAGATCAGCTGAAGGATAATGAAGAACAAACAAAAATAACAAACGACTGGAAATTCGCGGCGATGGTGATTGACAGGATGTGCCTAATCATTTTTACTTTATTCACGATAATTGCCACAATCACCGTCCTGTTTTCGGCACCTCACATTATCGTCACGTGATTCAGGAAAGCAAGCTCGCCACAACGTGGAGATGCTAAGCTTCATGTTTATGACTATTGGTTGTTACGGGTTGTTGTAGTTGTGCCGCATTCACATTCGTGTTTAATGCTTGTAAAACGAAAAATAAATTTTTTTTGCCGACGACAAATTATTATAGTAATAGAGCAATACAACGTACTTTCTTCCGTGATATCATCGTCATTTGATAGTTTATGAAAGGAAAAAAAAATGATAATACAAATAATATTTCCTAGCGATTGTCTCATTTACGCAAGCACTCTCTCTATTACAACAATACACAATAATATCACACAATTGCACTAACAATACATTCAACAGACAGTGATAAGCATAATATAATTTTTTCACAAATATAAGTATCGTAAACGTCGAGAATGTTTAAATTTATTACATAGAATTGATTTCTTATAATGTGCCATTTTCACAAGATACATTGATGAGTAAATAATTAATTAATTATATAAATAAATAATTAAGTAATTGATTAATTAAATAAATAAATAAATAATGGAGGCACATCGCAAAACATTTTTGTGTAAAATAATGCCAATGCGCACATATTGTAATCTCAAGACAATGAACTGCCAAGGTAATTCAAATGCCAGTGAATTTTACTATCCGTATCAGTAGTACGTAAAAAACTATGAAACAATTAAATTTATACCACGATTAAGTGGCGTGCGTTAGCACACGATCTTTTATAGGGTTAAGCTATTTGAAACGAAGATATTTGAGCATAAGGAATAATTATTATCAAATTACTAAACATATTTTTTAGTTACATACTTTTTTCTTATTAATTAGAAAAGGATAGTCAATTTTATTTAATTTTCTTTTTATGAAGCCATTATTGTTAGATAGTCCCGTTTATCTGAAAGAATTTTATTATCTTTGAAATTTGAGATTTATTGTATATGAAAGTTAAATTCATTATTTATTCTATTCTTTTCATTCATCCTTTGCTATTTCATCCATCTTTTCGGCCGCACGCCACTCATTAACCAATTGAACTAGTATTTGCTCTGTGAAAATACCCAACATTGGATTGTTTGTCAACAAATGTTTTGTTCAGAAACGAAAAAAAATATAATACATAGACGTCTGTTAACATTACATAGAAAAAATTTCAACTAATTTACTAGATATTTCTTATTGTCTACAACTTGAATTGTTATCAACTTTAGTGAAAAAACAAGTAAGAAAACATAATTACAAAAAGTATGAAATAATAGAAATCTATTATACTATTAGTAGATTATTTTATTAATTATAAAATTGAATTATCATTTTGTTTTGATTATTAAAAATTGATGATAAATTTTACATAAATTTTTCTATGTAATATTAAAAAGATACGTACGATTCAAAAAAAAAAAATACCCGTAATTATCTATATACTAATATCTGACATATACGTACACTTACACGGAAAGATCTATATATTCGAAATTGGTACATACTATTGATGTGTCTATTGCATCTCCACGTCTTCCAAAATCAATTTTTCATCGCACGCATTAAAATTTCTCTCGTATTAATATTTAAATAACAAAAAAATGAAAAAAGGAAAAAAAATATGTAAATGGTGGTAAAAACTAAAAAGTTTTGAGACAATTAAATGATAAAAGTTCTTTGAACTGTAAATGATGAGATTTTAATGGGTGCAAGTAAAGCATTTTAAAGTTTCTCTCCACTTTTCGGTGACTTGAAATTACACTTTACTCTTTAAAATTATAGACCAGTTCTTCAAAATTGTTTCTCAATGAATTGTTCAATATTATTTTCTTTATTCTATTATTTCTTAGTCATGGGCAATTGAATTATCGAATTCTTCTGATAACCAATTTTTTTTATATATATTCATATTACCTAATCCAAGTATCAAATTTTTATTATTATTATTATTAATAATCATATATAATAGTATTGAAATAAATCTTATAAATAAATAAGTGATATTAAGGTTTTCTTGATCTTGTTTACGGATAGTCATGTGAATGGGCGCTCGTGAGAACTATTTATTAATTGAATGAAAATAAAAAAAAAGAAAAAAAATAACAAAAAGAAAAGTAATAAAATAATTCAGTCGTATGAAAATTTGGCAAATGCCACTGACGCGACAACCAATCACATTATCTTTTAAATAAAAATTTTAAAGTTATAACATATATAAACAAATGTTGTTAATGATGTTAATCGAATAAAATATAAAAGTAGGATATTATAACGATATTGAAATAATATTCGGTTCATAAATAATTACGGTTTTATGTTAAAAATGAAGAGTGAATAAAAAATTAAAATAAGGACCTTCGCGAAAAAAAATTTTAAAAAAATATATAGATAATGCCTAGTTAGGTATATTATAATTCTCAGAGTGAATTATACTCGCGTAAATCGTTTCAATTTAGAATAAATATTGCAAATAAAATGGGATAGATTGTAAAATTTTTCATTCTTATTAAAACTTATATTGGGGAGGAGAATAAAATAATTAATTATATTTTATTTGCAATATTTATTCTTATCTAGGGTAAGTGATAAATATTTCCAGTTTGCAGATTGCAAATCAAAAGTTATTTCTATATAATCAGAACGACATTAAATGGAAAAATTTACTATTTTATACAAATCTAATAATACGTATTTTCTATTAATTCCGAATTATGTGCAGTGCAATTTTACATTGTTATTATTATACTAAAATTAATGTACACGATGGACATTAGTGCAGAGGAAAAAATAATTTTAAGTAATTATCAAATGTAATATAGAAATCAACATCCATACTATATAACGTATAGCAAGCTGATGGAATATTATCACTTGCTCGATATATACGTATAAATATTGAAGAGGAACGGAAAATTAATAAAATAAATAACTAGTGGTATAGAATTGACGATAATCGAAAAAGATAGTGAAATTCAACGTTGTGAAAAAAATGATTGAACAAAAATCAATTATAAATAAATAAAATGTAAATACAATTATATCTTGTGTGACATCTCAATTGTGTTGCCAATGTTAACGATTGTTCTTGGAGGCTTAATTATTAAATGCCTCACAATAATTACATTGACACTTTAATCTCAATGAAATCTGTTGTAACATCTTATAAAAAAAGTGTTTAACAAAATTATAAATAATAATTAATAATAAAATAACAGGAAATCAACGTAATTGCATTATGAAATATGTACGAGTATGCTCAAATAATTTGTATAAAAAAATCAATAAGGATTTATAATTCTTAAAACATCATTAGTATACGAGCATATAGGAATAACGTATTAGTTTCAATGAAAATCGGATAACAATGCTTAAACGATAATGATGGCAGTAATGGTCATTTTTGAGTATTCAACCGGTTGGCTTATTTCATCTCACTGAAATCTAATAAGTAAACTAAAAAATACTTTAAGTGTATGTTATATTTCTGCATACCTAGAGGTATGTCCAGCTCAACTATGTAATTCAACTTTATTCCATTTGTATGCTATAATTCATTTTTTTAAAGTTACATCATTTTTTATTCAATCAATATCGTTCTGTGAGAAGAACGAGAATCGGTGCAGATAATCATTTCATAAGCGACTGTTGTTGTAGAGTAATATATAATTTATTAAGTAATTATTACTCATAGAAGACTTGTAATTAGTACTTATGTATAATATACTTAAGCTTGTTTAAAAAAAATTATTCATGATCAATTCATTGTCAAAATTTTAAATCATTTTATCATCAATATATTAAATTGCCAAATAATTTAGTACTTTTCATTATAATTCAATTTAAGTGAATTTAAATAAAATAAAATTATTTATGAAAAATATTGATTATGGAATGATTACCTACTGATATAAGTATAAAAAATTTTGACAATGAAATTGAAATCATTTTATTGAGAGGCATTGAAGGAATCATAAGCTCATTGTGTATTAAATTATTACACGAATAAAATACTCACTCGGACTTGTGATTCTGTATAAAACATATTTATATATTGAGTTATGAGTTATGGTATTATTAAGAAATCATTTCATCATCACCCGAAAATCGGGATGTTACATTAGGATTAATTAGATAAATGCAAGTGCCAAATTATGAAGGTATGGAAATTTAAAGAGTGTAACATCAATTTGTTACAGGATTTTTTTTTAAACCAGTGATAGGAGATGCCGAATGAGTAAATTGAGAAAAAAGAAACTTTGAAATTGGTTGGAAATGAATTATTTAGCCTATAAATTAATGAACGGGTTAAACAAATATTAAGCTTTGCTTAAAGAAATTAGGTAAATTTGCAATTCAATACATAATTATCTAAGTTGTAGGGTTTTATAAACTTGAAATATGAAAATATATTGAAACAACGTAATAATTTTTAATTAAATAATTCCTGTGAATACATATGAATACTGATAAGAAACATTGCCAATTTAGGAGCTTGTTGATTTGAGAAAGTATCCTTCTAATGATTTTAAAACTTTCTTTACGCTTCAAGATAAGAATTAAAGAAAAAACTAAAAAAAGCAGTAATTATTAATAATGGGAAAAAAGTCACGACTTAATGCTCGCTAATTTTTCTTTCCATTTTTTCATCAAATTTTTTATAATGCATAAAAGCAATCATCAGATCATTAGTCTTTTATATAAAAAATAATTATTAATTAATTGCTGTTAGCTACTATACCGAACGCTTAATTATATAAATTTTACACGAATAGTCAAATAACTAATCACAATTAAAATAAAACCGTTATATGAATAATCCGATAACAACACAATTTTTACGAAATAACAATGATACTAGTTATAACAGTGATTATTATTACTAAAAATAATTGTAGAAGGATATAAAAAATATGTAAAATAGTATTCATACCAATAGATTCTTGTTTGGTAAATTCATTGCTACTATACTTGTGCAAATTAACGACTATAAACTGTTACTGTGAGCCAAAAATCCTATAGATGTACTATAAACCGAAAACAGAACGAAATGCTCTAAATTAAAACGGATCTATTAAACATATACCACTAAACATAAATTATACATATTTAAACTATTGAATACTAAAATCATATTCATATAAATAAATTGAGAAAAAAATAAGTAATCAATTATTAAGTATTAAATAAAAGATAGCTTATGATCAATAATAGAATTACAGTAGTGCTGTGAGCGTTAAATAGACACGGTAAAAGGATAGTTTTGTTAGAAATTATGATCAAACTTTATCGAGAACATTTTCTCTCTAAACTATACCTAATCATTCAAGATCTATCTATAGATAAAGACAAAATGATAATAAAATGATGAAAAAAAAATTTATTATCAGGACTTAATTCTTCTTTATACTATTATCTCTTCTACTTCCAGTCAAATCATGTAGAATTAGAGCCTGTTGCACCGGCCATCGGGTTGAAGTGTTGTATGATGATAAAGAATATTTTGAAAACAATTCCTCTGTTAAATAAGGATACGTAAAATAAACAACTAAAATGAGATGCATTTAACCAGTTGAGGAGAGAATTGTTCTCTAAAGTCGCTGGTGAGATGATGCATTGAAATCACTCTCACCTAATCTCACTTAAACTTTTGATTAATCCTCACTAACAGCCTAGTTCAATAAGTAGAAAAAAAAACAAAAATAATAATTACTATAATAATAATAAATAATAAATAATAAATAATAACATATAATATCAAACAATTAAATGTGAATTAAATTTGTTATATTTCTATGCTGGGCTGTTTTTCGAGGCGACGTTGGTTGATATGAGAATCCCTGTTAACTGGTGAACACATAATCGCCGCATTGTAAAATTATTAATATTATTACGTTATTATGAAATTGTTGAAATAAATGAAATGAAAATAAATGTCTTCCATTTGCTTCTAATTTTTTATTTCCACGATTAGTTATTTTTTCCAAAGCTATTTTTATTCTATTGCCAACCCTCACTTTCCACCTAATTGCAGTTAATTAAGCGGTTATGAGGGTAAGTTTCAATGATACAAATCGAAATGGAATCATCGTCATGATAAAAGAATTACATCTAAATATTCCTAATAAAACATGAGCATACCATTGACTGCCCGTATGAAAAGATTTCGTTGCCCAAACGTTCCCCGAATGTTCCCTAGTAGGGAAGTACCCTGACGTTCTTCTCGTGGCACTATGAAGAATGTTTGAGTAACAAAAATTTTTTTTTTTCTGAAATTTTTCCTCTTTATGATATCAGTTGATGTGTGAGAATAAGATCTATTTATTACAATAATTAAAATCATAATTGGAGCATAATTGTTGCTAAAATTAATGCAAGTTCCTGTTTTACCCCATTTTGAGGGTGTTAAAGTGAATTTTCTTGGGCGGTGCCCCGATTCCGCATTTCTAGGCATTAAAACGAAGAGAATGAGCCCTCGATCATTAAAATCGGACAACTTTGATTTTTCGACCCTAAAAAATGGCAAGTGGTACCCCTTTCCATTTTTTTTGGCCAAAAAATAAAAGTTCTCCGATTTTCAAGTTTGACCACTCATTCTCTTCGTCTTGATGCGTAGAAATGCGGAATCGGGGCACCGCCCAAGAAAATTCACTTTAACACCCTTAAACAGGGGTTACACTAAATACAAATTACGAATTATCATCCCCTTGACTTTAAACCCTTTTAACTCATGAACGGACAGTCCAATGATTGATTTTAAGGACGTTTTGGAAAGCTTAAAATCTAAGCTAAACATACATATCCATGAAAAGTGTTTAAAAAATTGCTTTCACCCTTAAAATCGCTAAAATATAACAAAAAATCACATTTTTTTGGGAAGTTGCCAACTGTTTTGGCGATTTTGAGGGTGAAATAAATTTTTTAAACGTTTTTCATGGATATGTATCGTTAGCTAAGATTCAGAAGTTTCCAAATCCCTCCTTATAATCATCATGTGATAATTTTCCTACGAGTTGTGAAGATCCAAACACAAAGGGTAGGTCATTCTTGACTCTTACATAAACTTTGGACTTCAATAACTCTCACATAAGTCATCTAATAATAATTATAAGGAGGGATTTGGAAACTTCTGAATCTTAGCTAACGATACATATCCATGAAAAACGTTTAAAAAATTTATTTCACCCTCAAAATCGCCAAAACAGTTGGCAACTTCCCAAAAAAATGTGATTTTTTGTTATATTTTAGCGATTTTAAGGGTGAAAGCAATTTTTTAAACACTTTTCATGGATATGTATGTTTAGCTTAGATTTTAAGCTTTCCAAAACGTCCTTAAAATCAATCATTGGACTGTCCGTTCATGAGTTAAAAGGGTTTAAAGTCAAGGGGATGATAATTCGTAATTTGTATTTAGTGTAACCCCTGTTTAAGGGTGTTAAAGTGAATTTTCTTGGGCGGTGCCCCGATTCCGCATTTCTACGCATCAAGACGAAGAGAATGAGTGGTCAAACTTGAAAATCGGAGAACTTTTATTTTTTGGCCAAAAAAAATGGAAAGGGGTACCACTTGCCATTTTTTAGGGTCGAAAAATCAAAGTTGTCCGATTTTAATGATCGAGGGCTCATTCTCTTCGTTTTAATGCCTAGAAATGCGGAATCGGGGCACCGCCCAAGAAAATTCACTTTAACACCCTCAAAATGGGGTAAAACAGGAACTTGCATTAATTTCAGCAACAATTATGCTCCAATTATGATTTTAATTATTGCAATAAATAGATCTTATTCTCACACATCAACTGATATCATAAAGAGGAAAAATTTCAAAAAAAAAAATTGTACTCATTTTTTTTCCTTTTGTACAAAAAAATAATCTTATCTATACAGTTAAGCCGATTAATCGTATAAATAAATTAAATCTACCTTAATTCCAGCATAAAAAAGATTCAAAGGAAATAAAAATCTTAACAATTAGGAACGATTATCAGTGAAAAAGATTAGAAATTATGAAAATTGTTTTAAATGGTTTATTGGAGTCGGTTCTAACGATATTTAAATTACATAAAATGGAGTATACATTGATTAATGCTTCACTGCAATAGTTAAAAATGCTGCAAATGTTTTTTCCTACCTTTATCATTCAAGCCTCTCATGTAACATATTAACATTTAATGTTAACTTATTTTTTTATTCTAAATGACTTATTATTTCTATATTTTGAAAGATCCTAGGCGAGAAATGGATTTATTGAGTGACTTCATTGTATTAGTAATGGATTAGCTTTCTGAAGTATGTGATTTATATGTTACCTTATTCTATTACTTTAAAGATGTATAATTTGGTATTTTTTTTATTGAGCATTACCCTGATATAAATATATTTTTAAATAATATTCAAGTGCTTCCAGTACTTTGTCAACTTTTGGAATGACTTCTATAAGTATTATAATAACATTAAAAAAATTTATAACAATTATCTAACAGAAAAACTTAATTATGTGGTATAACAAAATGTTATGAATCTACAATTAATAACTTTGTTACTCTCGAATTTCACTATTAAATTCTAATTATTGTATTTATCGTAAGGAAGACTTGCCACAAACATTTGAGTTTATCACTTAATAAATTTCACAATTAAATAACAAAATTCTCATACAATCAACACTGAAAATTTCTTTCTATACTATCTAAAGTAATTAAAAATTTTTATAAAGTTTTATCTTCCATATTCAACGATAAACAATTCACGTACGAAATAAATTCAACATTTAAAATCATTACTGCTAACTAGATTATTTTTCTAGATTCTTTGATATACATATTTTTTTTGTAATACAAATATTTTGGAGCTTTTTACTATCTAATTTGGTTCATAACCATTTTTTCGAACAAAGAATACACGAAAGATAATGTAAATAATTATCAAGGATAAAAAATTTAATATTTTTGTATAAAATATAAAATATCGAATAAGTGCTGATGGATAAAATGTATCATTGAGTAAGATAACTTGATTGTTTTTCAAACATGTTCCAAAGATTGTTATTTTTTTGCTTTATAAACATGTAAAAATTAAGAATCACCCGTTTACTTTCCTCGGTAAATTTCAATTATTTTATCCTGATCGACGTATTCAAAAATGTGAGGAGCATCCATTAAAATGCCAATCGTGCCAGCAGTTGTTACTATGAAGAAGAGATATAATTGAAGTCGATCAATCACCATAGCTACATATTTCCAGTCCTCTCGAGTCTGAAATGAACAGTTATGAAATGGTGTAAGCTTGCAATACGGTTTTGAAGAATATTTTTTAATAAAAACAAGTTCATAAAATGATCTAATTGAAATTTTTTTTCATTCTAGTCTTTGTAACCAATTAATTATATTCCATGAGATTGATATGTTATTAGTCAGACAGTGATAAACATTTATATAAAAAAATAACAAACCTGTATATAAAGATCTTCATTTCTCAAATGCTCCGCAATAAATTCCACAGCCTCAGTAGCTTTGGTAGCCTCTGGACTCAGAAGAATAGAATCTGAGCTTTCTGAGCCTCGTCGGTCTCCTAAGCCTTCATTACCACCGGCAGTACTAGATGTACTAGTAGTATGAGCTTTACGGTTAATTTTACAATTGGGATGATGAAGGTCAGACAATTCCATCATCTCCATTTTTGATTTACTCATTGGACCTGGAAGATGTTCAGTAGGACTTCCAGAGTAAGTTGATGCTGGCAGTGTAACATTTGGAATTTCCATCATCCATCTCAATCGAGTTTTTTTGGGTCTTCGCATTAAAAGTATTGCAGGTAAATATTTTAAAAAAATTTTACGAATCATTTTGGGCATCCTATGTGTTCTAGGTCCTCGGAAGTTCCAATTTATGATGACAACGGTTACAAGAATACTTACAGTGTTCATAATAAATGTAAATAATAAATATTTGGCAATGAGAGGTAATACAAGTGAAGTTGGTGGTAAAATCTTACTCACTAATAGAAGAAATACAACAAGTGATAGGAGAATACTGATACCTAATGTAACTTTTTCTCCTGCTTCAGCTGGTAAATAAAATACCAACACACAAAGGAAAGAAATAAGTACAGTTGGTAAAATTAAATTCACCGTATAGAATAGAGTCTTCCTCCTGATAATAATGTAAAAAGTTATATCAGTTTCGGTTGGAAAATCACCTTGATAAGTATTTAAATAAGCTGGAACATTGATAATGTCCCATGTTCCACTTTTCCAATAGTCTGACAGATCGACAAAATTTTTGTCATTGTAAAGTGCCAATGATACTTGATCTCCATTAAAAGTCCAAGAGCCAAATTTCATTAAACAAGTTTGTTGATCAAATGGAAAATATGTCACGTCAATGGTGCACGAACTTTGATAAATTGCAGGAGGTACCCATAGTACTTCTCCATTGGGATAGATGAGAACATTGCTCTTATAACGAACCTCATAATTGCCATCAGCACTGTAATTTCATAATGACTAATTAATATGTTAGTCATTAAAGTAATTTTCAGTTTTTAATTATTTATTTATGTCCAATTATCGTCTTATTCTTTTCTCCATAACAATGAAGAATTATTAACTTAACTTACTTGTTAAACAAAACTATATCTGGCTTCCAAACTTTGTCTGGTGGTAATCTTAAAACTCCAATTCCCCCGTAGTCAGCTTCATCCCATTGGAGTTGATAGTCTGTCCAAACGAATCTCAACCAAACATTGGATTTCATAATTTGATTTTTTTCGTTCTAAAAAAATAAACGTGTCACTCTGTTGAATCATCTATGATTTGGAATTTATATTTGCTATTGAAATATCAATAAAATATGTAAAAATATCATACCACGTTAATAAGCTGAACAAAAGCAAGTCCAAAACGTACATGAACTTTTTCTGTCATATTTTGAACAGGTCTAATAAGTTTGTTGTATCCTCTGAATAAATCTCGAACCAACCTTTCTTCATCTTCTGAACATAAACCTGAAAAAATCAAAGTTATTATAGAAATCATCATTATGAAACTATTCTATCAAATTTAATGATTCTTCTTAAATGGAAAAGAGAGATAATGTATTAAGTCAAATAACTGAAGCTTTGAAAACTATCTAAACTTGATTATCACTCGTGCATGCATCATTGAGTAAGTAGGGGAAACTAATTCAAAAAAAAATCATCAATAGTCCTTGGCCTAATTTTTTTTCAAATGTTTTATACGCTTGTGTTATATGATTTCATGGTAGAACTTAAGTATATGGTTTAAATGCCGAGATAAAATAGAGTGGGATATATAGAGAACTACTAACAGATGCTGATCTAAAATCTATCGGGAATTAAAGAAAGGGAAGCAAAAAAAATGTAATGAAAAATAGTTTGGGGAAATTTGCAGTTAGGGTGCACGAAAATCACAAATTTGGGGTCAGGAGAGGCCGACTATAATGGGAAGAAAGCTATTGTTGTCAGAAAAATATGGGAAATGAATTTATCAGTTAACATAAACAGAAGACAAGACTAGCGAAAAAAAATAATGAATGATAGGGAAGTATAGAATAAGGGTGAATTTTTATTATTAATGACACAGCAGATAAACAAAAATTGTGGGGTATTTTCAAGATACAGGAGGCATCTAAGTCATTAGTGGTACTATTTATTTAGATGATTAACATAAAAGGGTTATATTTTTATTATCAAGCTATAAAGTAGGCATCTAAGAAATAAAAATCATTAAATATTTATTATTTATGGGATCAAAATACTCACCAACACAAAAAACAGCAGAAATTAAAAATAATTTTAACATTCTTGAATACCAATACATTTTAGGCAGAGAGGCATCCACCCCGACTGCCATGTTTTTCTCTCATCCAGAAATCAATAGGGATGCAGCTCTAAGAAAATAAGGGTGGTTCCTATTTTGCCATTATCCGGAAAATTGGATGTAGCTTGAATTCGTTGATGATTCATTTTACAATGGCGAAGCTTTAATGGATTCTTTGTAAAATTTATTCATGTATAATTTATACTGTTCAATTATTGATACAATTTATTAAATTCAATATTACATAAAGAATCATTTAGACTAAATTTATATGAATAAACTCTTCATTTCTTATTACATGATTTTTTCATAAACTTTCTTCCCCTGAAATTTTTACAAAATTGATACAAATATAATTATTACATTTTGTAAAATTTTTCATAAAACATTTGTGATAGTATAAATATCTATTTTGATTTTTTTTATATCAATATAATAACTATTAATACATTTATTTATGTAAATTTAATGAATAGTTATAAAAATTGTTATTAAAATCTAGTATCATAAATACTTCTGTTCTATATAAATTTGTATGTATATTATGAATTGAGCGATTTTGGTCCTGCTTTTGTACTTAAGTTTATAAATTTTTTGTTTTATATATTATAAATATGGACAAATAATCCACGTCTATAAATTGCATTCACTCTTATAAAATACATATATTATTATACTCATTTTCCGTAGTAAATTTGTTTTATTTTCTCCTGATCAACATGCTCGAAAATGTGAGGAGCATGCATCATCAAGGTCACAGTTCCGAAAGTCGTCACTATGAAAAAGAGATATAACTGAAAACGATTGATCACCATTGCCATGAATTTCCAATCCTCGCGAGTCTAAAAAGATACATAACAATAATGATTATCATTAAATGATTAATTAATAAATAGAAAGTAGAACGTTAAATTTAATGTACTCTCTTACTTGTAAATATAGATCTTCATTTCGTAGATGTTCGGCGATGTATTCTATGGCTTTTGCGGCTTTTAAAACTTTTTCGCGTGAAAAAATAGGATCATTTTCCTCCGAACTGTTTACTGCTTCAACAGAATTTTGAGATGTACCTGAGGTACTCGGCTGATTATATGTATCAGAAGTACTAGGCTGAACAGCCATGCCAGAGGTGCTGGGCTGATTATATGTATCATAAGTACTTGCCTGTCTAGGTATACCAGAGGTGCTAGGCTGTCTAGATATACCGGAAGTAGTAGGCCGAATATAAACACCGGAGTTGTTAGAGCGATTATATATATCAGAAGTACTAGGCTGAACAGCCATGCCAGAGGTGCTAGGCTGATTATATGTATCAGAAATACTAGACTGTCTAGGTATACCAGAAGTACTAGGCCAATAAACACCAGAGGTGCTAGGGTGATCATATGTATCATAAGTACTTGCCTGTCTAGGTATACCAGAAGCAGTAGACCGAATATAAATACCAGAAGTGCTAGGATGATTATATGGATCAGAAGTACTGAGCTGTCTAGATATACCAGAAGTACCAGGCCAATAAACACCGGAGGTGCTAGGATGATCATATGTATCAGAAGTACTAGGTTGTCTAGATATACCAGAAGTAGTAGGCCGAATATAAATACCAGAGGTGCTAGGATGATTATATGGATCGGAAGTACTGAGCTGTCTAGATATACCAGAAATACTAGGCTGACCAACTATGCTAGAGGTGTTAGGCTGAACAACTACGCCAGAGATGCTAGATTGTCTAGATATACCAGAAGTACTAGGCTGACCAACTATGCCAGAGGTACTAGGCTGATTATATGGATCAATAGTACTTGCCTGTACAGGTATATCAGAAGTACTAGGCTGATAGTAATCGTTGTCAGCACGAGGATCATGATGGTAATTTTCGTTGATAAAATTCAACCATTTCCATTGTTTCTTTTATTGGATTATGTATAGCGCAATAGGGTTTATGAGGGTCTTGCAACTGATTTGATGATGGAATATCTCTCATCCATCTCACTTGAATTCTCTTCGGTCGTTGCATCAGTAAAAGTTTTGGAAGATACTTTAAAAATATAGTACGTAGTGATTCAGGCATTCTGTGAGTTTGAGGTCCTCGAAAATTCCAGTTGATGATAACGACGGCTGACAAAATACTCGAAACATTCATGATAAACGTGAATAATAGATATTTTGCTATAAGAGGAACTACCAGTGATGTAGGTGGCAGAATCTTGCTGACTAACAGAAGGAACACGACAAGAGAAAGAAGAATACTGATCCCAAGTGTTATTTTTTCTCCTGCTTCAGCTGGTAAATAAAATTCCAATACACAAAGTAAGGAAATTAGTACAGTTGGTAAAATTAAATTTACTGTATAAAATATTGTCTTCCTTCGAATGACAATATGAAAAGTAATGTCAGTTTCTGTTGGGCGATTTTCTGTTCTATAAACATTCAAAAACGCAGGGACACTGATAATATCCCATGTTCCACTTATTCCATAGTCTGACAGATCAACAAAATGTTTATTATTGTAAAGAGACAATGACACTTGATCTCCATTAAAAGTCCATGAACTAAATTTCATTACACAAGTCTGTTCATCAAATGGAAAATATGTTACATCAATGGTACATGAGCTCTGATAAATTGCAGGAGGAACCCATAATACTTCTCCGTTTGGATGAATAAGTACGTTGCTCTTATAACGAACTTCATAATTACCATCAGCACTGCAATTAAATCATAAATAATTAATTATTCATGAGGAATGTAAATTTATCAATGTACTTACTTATTAAATAAGACTATGTCTGGTTTCCAAACTTTGTCCGGTGGCAATCTCAGAACTTTGATATCTCCATAGTCAGTTTCATCCCATTGTAGTTGATAATCAAACCATTCAAATCTCAGCCAAACATTAGATTTCATTATCTGCTCTCTTTCATTCTAATCAAATAAATCAAAATGTATATACTCAAGCCAATTATACCGTGTACTGGTAGACTCAATTTAAAAAACAATTTATTCGATTAGTAATTAAATGATTATCATACCACATTAATAAGTTGTATAAATCCAAGTCCAAATTTTACATGAACTTTCTCAGTTATATTTCGAGAGGGTCTGATAAGTTTATTATATCCTTTGAATAAAGTTTCCACCAATCTTTCTTCATCTTCTGAGCACGAACCTGTAAAAATGATATTTAAAATAAAATTACTACAAGCGCTTAATTTTATTGAGAATAAGGAAAAATACGTACCAATACAAAAAATTGCAGAAATAAAAAATAATTGAAGAAATTTTGATTGTAAATACATTCTTTCAAAAAGATGATCATCTAACAGAATGATCGTATTTTCTTTTGACCAGAAAAAATCGATAGAAGATATTATAAAAATATGAAGTTTGTTTGTGTATTTTTTTTAATCAACATTTTCACTTTTCCACAACACATTTTTTTTTTAATGAATTGATTTCAACATCAAGAAAACTTTTTTAAATAAAAATTCTAAAACGTTTTTATTTAAAAGCTTTAAGCTGTTCCATGCAATACAGAAGAAGAAAAAGTATGTATTCACCCCAGCAATTCTCGGAATACTACTGAACTTTCACGGTAAACTCGAAGATCAGCTGTCAGGTTATTGACCGAATACAGGGATGAAATAGGTCAAGAACACTTTTACTCTTACGATATCGAACGAAAATTTCCGGGGGTGACCGACAATATTGCATTCATTTCTGTACCAAACAGAAGATTTCGAGTATCTTCGGAACAATTCGGTAAAATAGTTCTGAGATTTAAACCATGAAAAATTTATCAAAAAATCTTATGAATTACGACTGATAGCAGAAAAAAGTATAACTATTACTGAATCATCATACAATTGTTAAAATAAATAATAGATATTTTTTATTCGGATTGAATTTCTTATCTTTAGGATAAGTTAATCTATTCAGAATTATTTTTATTTTCTTTCTGTATTCCTACTTGAAATCTCTAGATTGATTTTCTCGTCACTGTAAAAATTATGAAGATTCTGTAATCAATATTGAGCTGTTAAACTGCATTTTATCAAAACTCATATTATTACTACAAAGATTTTAGTGATGATTAACTATGAATCATATTTTTTCTGATAGTAAATTCGAGAGATTTATTTAAGAGGCTGAGTGTTTTTGTCAGATTATTTTCTCTGTTAGAAAATCTATAATTTCTTTTAGAGATGATTCATTCTTACGTAACAAAAAGAGATATAATTTTCAACAGTATAACTCGAAATTTTGGGTGAAAGAAATATATTTTCTTTCAATTAGACAAATAAAAAATGTACTTCGATCGAAAAAAAGCATTATCTTAATATTTAATTACTGTAATAACTAATAAACTCCTAAAAAACATTTTTATTGAAAACAGTATTTTATTAGTTTTAAGGTAAATAAATACAAATTTTTTTACACTTTTACATTTTATAACTTGCATAGACACGCAGTAGAATGATATAAAGAGATTAATTCTAAACGTAATTTTAATTTAATAATAAATAAGTTATAATAAATATCTTAGATCTAAGAATAATTATAAGTTTGATTTAATTTACATTTTAGGCTCAATTTTTCTGTTTTTCTTTAATTTATAATTTATGAAGTTTATTTTTATTATTTAAGAAATTTGAAACATTGGTGCAGAGTTTTTTTAAATATTTTACTTATGTTTTTTTATTCGGAATAGACTTAGATCATTTTAAATTGTGCGATTTGTTGAAAATTAAGAAATAGTGAACATTGTTCCTCACAGCTGAAATATTTCAGTTACATCAATATTTGTATTTTTTACTTTCAATTAAATGTATGATTTTGCAATATTGCATTGATAAATAAGTCATAAAAAATACTCAGTTGTAAAGAATATAATAAATTCACATTTCTTCTTTGATTTATAATTTTCTTTTGATAAACTATTCATTTTTTATTGCTATTAATTTGTGATACCATTCATGTTTCAAGTCAGTCTTTAAAAGTATCAGTGGCAGGCGATTAAGACGAAATGGAAAATTGGTCAACAGATTAGAAGCCTTGTACTCAATATTAGTGCAATTTATTATTTAAAATATAAAATCTATCTTCAAATATAATATATTTATAAATATTCATCTCTGTTGAGCATAAGTTCTTTCTATTCCTTTATTTGTACTTTATTTGGCAACTTCAATTGTGACTGATAAATATTTTTAATTTAATTTAAAATCTCCGAATTTCCTTCATCATCAATAAGTAAATATTGTATCAATATTGATGGAAGACATATCAGAAATTGTTAACATGAATTTCATGTAGAAAAATTCCATCATAACATACTTATAAATTTACATGAAAATACAGTTTGTAGAAATATTATTTTTCACTCAAGAGAAAAAAGATTACCAATTTAAATATTTGTTCGTCATTTTGCATAAAGTTCATGCTGGAATAAAATTATTATTAAATATCTACATAAAAAGTTTTTACTTGCTTTTATAAAATATACCAATTGCATTCTTAAATGAATGATCAAAATTATCCAGAACCTATGTCATTATCTCTCCACTTATAAATATCAATTATTTGATCTTGATTAACATATTCAAAGATGTGAGGAGCATCCATCAAAATATGAACAGTTCCAGCACTTGTTACTAGAAAAAATATGCACAACATGAACCGATCGACAACCATTGCAACAAATTTCCAATCTTCTTGAATCTATCAACAAAATTTCAAGAAATTAAATAAAATATGAAAAATTTTGAAAATATAAATAAAATGATAAATTCATACCTGAAAATAAAGATCTTCATTTCGAAGATGTTCTGCAATAAATTCTACTGCCTCAGTAGCTGCTTTAATATCAGGATGTAATATAATATTTGAACTTCTTGATTTCTGTCCACTATCAGCTTCTGAAGCCTTAGATCTATGAGATTGACGACGAACATCACAATTAGGATGATGATAAATTATTTCAGTCAATTGTATCTCGTCTACTTTGCGTTTATTATTTAATGCAAGAAGTTGATCTATAAAGTTTCCAGAATCTGTCGTATGTGAGTTTTCATTTGGAAGCTCCAACATCCATTTGAGACGTGATTTTTTCGGTCGGCGCATCATTAATATTGTTGGAAGAATTTTAAGAAATATTAAACGCATATATTTATGCATTTTGTGTGTTCTGGGCCCTCGGTAATTCCAGTTTATAGTAACAACAGTCACAAGAATGCTCAAAGTATTCATAATGAATGTAAATAGCAAATATTTGGCAATGAGAGGTAATACAAGTGAAGTCGGTGGTAAAATCTTACTCACTAACAGAAGAAATACAACAAGTGATAGGAGAATACTGATTCCAAGTGTTACTTTTTCACCAGCACCTACTGGTAAGTAAAACACCAATACACATAGAAAGGAAATTAACGCAGTTGGTAAAATTAAATTTACCGTATAAAATAAAGTTTTTCTCCGTATAATAATGTTGTAAGTAATATCAGTTTCAGTTGGACCATCTACTTGACGATAAGTATTTAAATAAGCTGGAACATTGATTATGTCCCAGGTTCCACTTTTCCAGTAGTCTGATAAATCGACGAAATGTGCATCTTTATATAATGATAACGATACCTGATCCCCATTAAATGTCCAAGAGCCAAATTTCATTACACAAGTCTGTTGATCAAATGGAAAATATGTTACGTCAATGGTACATGAGCTCTGGTAAATTGCAGGAGGAACCCATAATACTGCTCCATTTGGATGAATAAGTACGTTGCTCTTATAACGAACCTCATAATTACCATCAGCACTGCAATTAAATCATAAGTAATTAATTATTCATGAGGAATGTAAATTTATCAATGTACTTACTTATTAAATAAGACTATGTCTGGTTTCCAAACTTTGTCCGGTGGCAATCTCAGAACTTTGATATCTCCATAGTCGGTTTCATTCCATTGTAGTTGATAATCAAACCATTCAAGTCTCAGCCAAACATTAGATTTCATAATTTGATGTTTTTCATTCTACAAAAATAAAAATAGTGATTCAGAGATTCTTCTTAATACAAGTCATCGATTATTTTTAACTAAACTTATTTACTTTTGAAAATATTTCTCTGAGAATTCAAAAAATAATAATTGTTATATAATTATAAATCTTACCACGTTAATAAGTTGTACAAATGTGAGTCCAAACTTTACGTGTACTTTTTCTGTCATATTTGGAACGGGTCTGATGAGTTTGTTGTAGCCTCTAAATAAATCTCGCACTAATCTTTCTTCATCATTCGAGTAGACTCCTTAAAAATCATAATATAATTTATATTCTAACAATTTTTTACAAATAATTATTAACGAAAATTATTACTGTTAAAAATATTATCTTACCAACGCAAAATACAGATGAAATAATTAAAAACGTAAATATTTTTGTTATAGGATACATCTTCACACTAAGGGGCATCCACCCCAACTGGCGTATTTTTCACTCTGAAAATAAATCAATAAGGGATGCTCCAGAAGAGTAAAGATGGTTTCTCTTTTGCCATCCTTCGAACAATCCTGTTTCCTCTATGACGCTAGATACATTCAACAACATCCAGCATTATATACGACTGTGAATCAAATTCATTATGAATTAAAAAATTTTTTAAGGGAATTATCAAACAAATTATTACAGATATCAATTTATTTATTTATTATATTATTTTATTGTAGAGAAATTGTACACCAAATAATAATTATTAATTTTTCATATTCCTAATGTATAAAAACAATATTATATCGAAGAAAATTCAATTTTTGGCAAATTGCAAATTACAAACTTTGAACTTCTATAATCTGATTTTAGATAATTATGTCTATTTATATGTATATATATATAGTATAACTAATTAATAATATTTTTACTATGCAAATCATAGCAATTAATTAGCTAACTTTTACTTCATTACAATAATCTACTGCGTCCTGTACACGATATTTACAACCTAATAATGAGTACACTATATAACAAATAATTCCTTGGAATACTTTAAATTAGTTTTTGAAAATGCATCAAGTTTTAACTGCTTCTTCAAGATACTGAAAAAGTAATGAAAACTTAATTTAATAAAAATCTTCCCTGAGACTTTTATGACTATAAAAAAGTATACATTTATTTATAGTTATAGTACATTAAATTTCAATATAAATTATCGTATATGATTTATTAAAAAAATACTATTCACTATCGGAAGTACATCCGGTTGAACGTTTATGGCTTATTTCTTGTTCGTCTTCTTTGCTTGGTATTGGCAGTTCTTCGTATCCTTTATTGGAAATTTTTTGAACGTTTCTTGAATGTATAAATAAGAAATACATAATTACAGCTATGATAAAAACTAAATTAAATCCTAGTAAAACGGTCATACGTCGAAACCACACGCTTGATTTAATTTTCCAGTCTAGAGACTTTGAGATACATTGAAACTTTTCGGCTCTTGTTGAAGTTGGATTTGAATCAACGTGACATGAAGTGCAATCGATATCCGAAGGTCCTGCACAGGTCATACATGAGTAATGGCACGGAATACAAATATTCTTCGACTCGTCGTGGTCTGGGTACGTAACTGACGGGCATTCCAACAGGCATCGTCCCTCAAAGAAATACCAGCCGCTCTTACATCCTGAAAAAGATACACATTTTAACATAAAAATCTTGTCATTTATATTTTTATATTTTTCAGAGTAACAACGATTCAGCCTATTTTTATAAATAAAAATTATTAAAATGATAAAAATAAAACAATCAATCATTATTAAAATGACCGTATAAAGAAGTTTCGTACCCCAAATGTTCCCCTCGTGGGACTATGAAGAATGTTTGAGTAACAAAAAATTTTTTTTTCTGAAATTTTTCCTCTTTATGATATCAGTTGATGTGTGAGAATAAGATCTATTTATTACAATAATTAAAATCATAATTGGAGCATAATTGTTGCTAAAATTAATGCAAGTTCCTGTTTTACCCCATTTTGAGGGTGTTAAAGTGAATTTTCTTGGGCGGTGCCCCGATTCCGCATTTCTAGGCATTGAAACGAAGAGAATGAGCCCTCGATCATTAAAATCGGACAACTTTGATTTTTCGACCCTAAAAAATGGCAAGTGGTACCCCTTTCCATTTTTTTTGGCCAAAAAATAAAAGTTCTCCGATTTTCGAGTTTGACCACTCATTCTCTTCGTCTTGATGCGTAGAAATGCGGAATCGGGGCACCGCCCAAGAAAATTCACTTTAACACCCTTAAACAGGGGTTACACTAAATACAAATTACGAATTATCATCCCCTTGACTTTAAACCCTTATAACTCATGAACGGACAGTCCAATGATTGATTTTAAGGACGTTTTGGAAAGCTTAAAATCTAAGCTAAACATACATATCCATGAAAAGTGTGTGAAAAATTGCTTTCACCCTTAAAATCGCTAAAATATAACAAAAAATCACATTTTTTTGGGAAGTTGCCAACTATTTTGGCGATTTTGAGGGTGAAATAAATTTTTTAAACGGTTTTCATGGATATGTATCTTTAGCTAAGATTTTAAAGTTTCCAAACCCCTCCTTATAATTATTATTAGGTAACTAATGTGAGAGTTATTAGAGTCCGAAGTTTATGTAAGGGTCAAAAATGATCTACCCTTTGTCTTTGGATCTGCACAACTCGTAAGAAAATTATCAGACGATGATTATAAGGAGGGATTTGGAAACTTCAGAATCTTAGCTAACGATACATATCCATGAAAAACGTTTAAAAAATTTATTTCACCCTTAAAATCGCCAAAATACGTGGCAAACTCCTGAAAAAATATGATTTTTTGTTATATTTTAGCGATTTTAAGGGTGAAAGCAATTTTTCAAACACTTTTCATGGATATGTATGTTTAGCTAAGATTTTAAGCTTTCCAAAACGTCCTTAAAATCAATCATTGGACTGTCCGTTCATGAGTTATAAGGGTTTAAAGTCAAGGGGATGATAATTCGTAATTTGTATTTAGTGTAACCCCTGTTTAAGGGTGTTAAAGTGAATTTTCTTGGGCGGTGCCCCGATTCCGCATTTCTACGCATCAAGACGAAGAGAATGAATGGTCAAACTCGAAAATCGGAGAACTTTTATTTTTTGGCCAAAAAAAATGGAAAGGGGTACCACTTGCCATTTTTTAGGGTCGAAAAATCAAAGTTGTCCGATTTTAATGATCGAGGGCTCATTCTCTTCGTTTCAATGCCTAGAAATGCGGAATCGGGGCACCGCCCAAGAAAATTCACTTTAACACCCTCAAAATGGGGTAAAACAGGAACTTGCATTAATTTTAGCAACAATTATGCTCCAATTATGATTTCAATTATTGCAATAAATAGATCTTATTCTCACAAATCAACTGATATCATAGAGAGGAAAAATTTCCAAAAAAAAAAAAAAATTTTTTTTTACTCAAACATTCTTCATAGTCCCACGAGGGGAACATTTGGGGTACGAAACTTCTTTACACGGGTAGTAACAGAATTTAAAAATTACAATTGTATAACAAGTAACATTATTCACATTCTGAAATAATAAACATAATATCCAATGAATCAATTACTAAATGTTACAAAAGTAATAAGCATGTAATTAATCATGATTAATTGTCTACAAGTATCAATAAATATATTAGATCAAAGAGCAACATTAAACCTGTATTATATTCAACGCTAAAATTAATGAAAACATGAAAAACATACACCAATTTTATTAAATTAATATTCTTCATCAAAATTTAATGAAATTTATACTTTTATTTAATTGAATTATTTTGCAATTAGAATCATATTTTTCCATGTGATCATGTATAACTAATTAAACATATAAAATGAAATTTATTCAATATTCGTACACTTTAATGAAATTATTGGGTATACTATGACATAAAAATCACTGCGTAAATGCAAGAATAATTTCATGCACTAAATAATCAATAATGATTATTTAATTGTTTTTTTATAATCATTAATTTAGAGTCATAGGATTAAAAACGTCCACCACTACATCGATCAATAAAGAACAAACTCAGAGATTCATGCAAGAATTAAATTATTCAAGTACTTTTTAATTATTCGCAAGTATTTTTCTTTCGGTTTACGTATCGATTTTGATGCATTGAAATTTTTTCGATACTGTCGCATGCAAATAACATATAATGCATTGTAATTAGAAGTATCAAAAAAAAAAAACATTTAAAAGCCTAAAACAAGGAATACAATTTAGTTAGATATTTGAAACACAGAAAACAATAGATAACATTAAGGCAAGCAGTAAAAGAAATTTAATATGAATATGAATAAAGAATAGAATGAGAGAATTAGACTCACCGTGGTGGTGAAGCGTTCAGGGATAAATCTATTGGTTGTACATATGAAGCTGTGGGTGTAAACATGTTACACCTGAGATATTCCCCACTGCAACGTATAAACCGTCCGGGAGAGACGGTCTCCTAGATATCTTCAGTTCTAATATTGTTCTTCTTTATTGATTATGAGTATGATAAAATATTATAGATATAAAAAAACACGAATATAAAAAAATTGACTTTTAATCAAATTAAAATAATTTGTAATCATATAAAATGATAAAAATAATGTAAAATCTTAAAATGTAAAGAAAAAAAATTGGTTGTTGAAATAGTTTGTTCATGGTTGGAGTTTCTTTAGCTTTTTAATAATTTCTTAATTAACATGGATAATTTTCATGAAAAATTTATTCATCTTATAAATGAAATTGAATATATTATATAAATTAAATTTTTACTTCAAACTTTGTCTAAAAATTCATTTACTAATGAGTTCCTTGTGGGAAAAATTCTCTTTCTGCTATTTGAGATAAAATAAACTATCATGCACCATAAAAATATATAATTCTGACGAAAATAAATCATTTTTACCCACGCAAAGAATTATTTTATAAAGTTAATTGATTAATTAATTAATTAATGTAAGAGAATAGTGTTTATAAATAGTGGATGTAAATAATAAGCTGAAGTAATAGATGAATGTGCTGGTATTATGGTAATAGCGTGCATTTTGTTATTAAAAAAGTTTTTAACGTTTTCCAATTTATAATATACAAATTAATTTGCGTATAAGGTTCATTATATATTTTTAATTACTTATTGAATATATCAATAATTATTATTGTGGTGTATATGCATAAATACTTGCGAAACTTTGTGCATCACATTCACTCTTCTTTTTGTAATCATCATTTTCATTTTATAAATAATTACTTATACATTGTTTGTCAATTATTTTCAATTGTTTTTTACTTTTTTTTTGTTCAGAACAATAATATTGAAAAAAATTGATTACTTGTGTTCTATGTAAATTTTGTATCACACATCACACTTTTCCATTTCTATAACTTGAGATATGTTACTCCTTTTTTTTTAAGCGAAGATACATTTTTATATTACATACAAACATTTACAATAGATACATTATTCATTATTTTATGCACACACGATGAGCTTATAGGATCTTTATTATTATTATGTTTAGGATTAAATTATGCGATCAATTAATAATCTATATATTTATATATTTATATATATTTTTATGTATATGATATAATTAAAAAATTTTAAGCGTTACGTCACGATTTGGAATGTTATCAAATTTATATGTTGTATAATTATTTTACTTTTCCTCTATTCATAATGTTGTGATATTCATTTTTAACTTTGACGATACACACTGCTCGTTAAACAAAAACCACACCACTAAAATAAAACAGAATCATTTCACTAAAATGTTACTAATTTTTTTACATTCAGTCCTTTTTTACTTGCAAATCTGACGTCAATATTTTACTTATGATTGTTTTATGTTAATTACATTTTATTTGTTTAATTGACGTATTAAACTTGAAATTAATTTTATTTTTTATTATTTATTTTTGTTCTTTTGGATACTACTTTCGTTTATGAATTTGAGCAGATGATGGATAATTTACAGAAAAGAATACCATTATTATTTTTATTTCGTTTTTTAATAATTTATTATACTTAAATCAAATATCAATTCTTAGCTAACATGAAAATATGAATGTCTGATTATTTAAAAACAATTAACTTTCAATTCGGAATAAAAAGTGATATTCTTTTCTGTGTGATTCGTTTTATGTACTAGTAAATTATATTTTAATTATAAAATTCTTTGAAAATTTTGTGACCAATGTAAGCAAATAACGACGGATATAATTAGATTTTATAATTTATTACTATTTGTTTATAATTCATTATATAATGGACTAATAGCATCACCGTAATATAGTTTATTTATTAATATCGATCACTAGTGTGTTAGTAATTTACTACACAAAAGATCGAAAGTAAAATACACACAATGATTGACAGGAAAAAATAATTAACACTTATTCTGTTTTAAACTGATTGATTTTACTTTCAATATCATTTTATTCCTGTCAATAAATGTATTGCTTGTTATGTTCATATTACACTTTCAATTATTTACATAGAAAACAAACATGCTAATCAAATTATAATACAATTAATATAACAGGATATGAATGTATTATTATTAACAGATATGTCTTCAAATATGTGCAAAGTTTAAAAACTAACATAATTAATCATCATTTTATTTGATTATAATACTGAGCTGTGATTAATTATTTTTTTAACTTTAGAGTTCTTGAGTTTAAATAATTGAAAAGATATAAATATTTTACTACTTATTTATAGAAGGTTATCATAAAAATTCAACAATGATCACACAGAAATATAACATTAATATATATATATTAATAAGAAATTTGTTATTTATTAAAAACAATTTGAAATGTCGGTATGATAATTATGTAAAATTACGTCAAATTTTAGAAAGTAATATTCAACACTAATAGAATTTAATCACAGATATTCTTGTTTAACTTGCAAGCTACATGTCATGTTATCAGATTAATAAAACAATTTGTGAATTTAAATAATAGTAAAAAATATATCTATTGTTTCTATTTTATATTTATTACAAATATGTTAATAAATTTATCCAGTAAAATTGATACATAAATAATTTGAGTAATGATTTAATAAAAATTAATACAACTTTTAAATTAATTAAATAATGCAATACACATTAAGTTGAATTTAATTACTTGCAGCTCGTAAATTAGTTCAATTAGTTAATTATGAATCAATTAACTCATTTACTATTTATAATTATTATGAATTCATCAATACAATACAATGCCCATGATCATTTACGAAAAGAAGTTTTCAATTAATTAGAAAAAATTTATCACTAGTTCAGCGATATATAAAACACTGATGAAAAATCGGCAGTTTAATGTCTGTTATCGCAATTTGATTTTATATTCTTGATTAAAAGCTTTTAGTGTTAATCAAACTCGTGACTCGTTTATCTACTTTTGTATTAAAGTAGGACGGCATTGCAATATGCAATTGAATATTACCTAATAGGAATCATGGAGTTTATAATAAATATATCATTATTATTATTAAATTATCTTTCGCATTTTTTATAACTAATGTTTAAACCACATTCTGCCATTTCAAGTATGTATTATCAATGATTACATCCCAAATGAAGTATTCATTTTTCGAGTGCACGAGGTAGATAAAGAGATTAAATTTTTTTTATTCAATGAAATACGGTCGTACAATGATGCATTAGTCCAATTAGAAATTAATTCGAGAATTTTTTTTTTTTTTATATAAAATGCAATTTTCGTCAGATACATATTCATTCAAATTTGTTGATTTTTGCACTTGACATAGAAATATGTTAAGCATTTATATATATTTACATGAACCGTTCATTCTTTATTATTTATGTATAATAATTGATTAATGAGATGAAATATCTTATTATCCAAAACACATGGATATTAATACTGATTCATTGTCATTTCACATTACAAGCACCCGCAAATTCTTTGTTCTTACTGTTACTTTATATTATTGTTGATATTACTAGAATAAGCTATAGTTTGTTAATCATTTATTTTTTTAGTTAGCTTCATTATTTTTTTAATATTTTCCATAATATTATTTGGCAACGCTACAGATATTAAATTAATCGGTTTATTTTTCTTTCTTGACAGTATTTTAATTGCACTTTTTTGTCACGACATAAAAAATTATTCGGTAACATCAATAATCGCTTATTCATTCTAGCACAATAATATCATTATTCTTCCACTCATTGGTTACTTTGTGCCATTTTTCCTTTTTTTCATTAAAGGTTTATATCAAACCTTCAAGTACAGATCACAATCGACTTGGCACTACAAAATGACGTTCTGAACACTTCATGGCACATTATTTGCGCCTTCAATAACTTATAATTTATTATTTTTCTCTATGTAACGCTGAGAAAAATATCAGTCTTAAAATTGGAAATCGAAATACTAAGATTTCATTCTATAAAAAAATCTTAAAAATAATTTAAAAAGTCAAAAAATCTTTTAAATAAATACAATATCTAAAAATTCATCTAAAAAAAGACTTAATTACACTCCATAGTCATTTATTGATACGTTAATATTAAACGTAGTGAATATTAAATTAAAAACAAAAATTGCTAGCATGAATTCTTAGCTTATATTTCACCATTGAAAAACTAGGATATTTTTCTCTGCGTCTAAGAATGATCATTTTCTAAGTAACGATATGGATTAGCGAAGCACACATTTTTCTCAACGACACAATTTCTCGATTGAAAGTATCATTTATCGATTTGATTAGCACAACGAGACACTAATATTTAGACTAAACGTGGATATGATTGGACATGAAATGTGGCGCATGAAAAATGATTTTTTTTTTCCTTAGTCTCTCGCTGTACATTTTAATTTCACCATCATGAATGGGAGATACTAAAATTACTTGAATAACTAATATTAGACAACGTCACTTGAGCAAGTATCTCGAGCATTGAATCTTAAACACTGTAGAAGCTCAATTGTATTTTTTTTTATCTTCAATATGTGCAAGACAGTTTCAATTTATTCTGTACCATATTATTACGTAATGTATTTCGAAATTTATTCCGCTATCTTTTGTCCTTATTCATTCACCTTTGTTCATTTATTTAGAGGTAGTGCCAAAGACTCAGAAAAATTGAGATAACTTTTAGAGAGACTATCACACAATGGTTGAAGAAAAATATATTTAGTAAGAAGTGAAACGGAAAATTAGACAAATAATTTAGCCCAAATCCAAAGATAAGAAGCTGATAGTAAAGAAATAAATAAATCAAAATGATTTTTAATATTGTTACAACTAATAACAATGCAATATACAAATAATTATTTTTACCGTTAATTAATTGTAAAACTTTCTTTGCTATTTTTGATTAAAGTTTAGTGCACTGATTAGAAATTCTTTGAAATTTATTTAACTAATATTGTGTCAAATAATCGTTTATATATGTATTTATTTATAAAGATAGTGAAAAAAAATTTCCTATAATTCTTTTAATATTTTGTGCACCTTTTTCATCACATTCATTCAACCACAAGCAAACGTGCTTTCTCACAAACTCATGGATATTATTCTCTCTTTGTTACGCGATTGATTTAGCTGCAGATAAGTTTACGAATGCAGCTCACGTTTTTTTTAAATACTGGAACCCTATCACTGAAAAAAAACTCTCAATATTATAAATATGCTAAATTTTAATTCAACGCATTTTTCTATCATAAGAACACGCGTCTCTACCAGAAGAATGTGTAGGACATTTATTTAGTTCCGAAATATAAATTAATTTTATTGTGAATGCAGAAACAGAAGTTTAGTTTAGGCCATACGTTCAAACGAATATTCCTACAATACTGAAACATTCCTTGATAATATTAAAAATTTTTTTTCAGTGAATAAATGGTTAAAATATTCATGAGTTTTCTCAATGAATCTTATAACGTAACCAATATTTATACATTTAATTAAATTAATTATTATTTAATTTTTTTAATCATTATGATTTTTTAAAAATAATTGGTAACGTTTGGTTCCAGCTCAAAGTGTTATTATTTCAGCTAGGTTCTTTAGTCAATGTCTGTAGAAGAAGGAGAATGAGAAGGCACCCACCTAGGCACCCATGAGAGCTAAAGCTGTTGCATCCTCTACTCGTTTGGTTTTCAGACGTTGGCTTTTGCGCCTCAGGGTGAGATATTGGATTCACCTGCTGTCTTCCAGACCATGCATCATTCTCAGTATCTATCAGATGTTTGTTTGTATCTAGGTCAGCATTATTCTGTGGTACATCAACATGAATCATGCCAGGATGTTTGTCTTTATCTAGTTCGTCATCGAAGTCGGGAGATTCTTTCGTACCGTACAGCATCAATCCCCATTCGTTTAATGTTGCTGAAAAAAGAAAATAAAACTTTAGTACTAGATTTCGACATAACAGAATAAAAGAAAAAATATGACAACATTGACAATCTATATAACTAAACAATTCTTAAGTAAAAAATATCATGCTAATAGAAATAAAATAATACTAGTTGACAAAATTAATCGTGTTCTTATTGCAGAAATAATATTGGAGTTCGATGGTTTATCTTATTTTAAATAAACGTTAATTTTAAAAATAGTATATTTCATCTGTACAAAATTTAAAAATCGAACAATGGAAATGTAGAATATTGTACAAGATAAATTCTAAGAATGATAAAAATATTTATTTTATTATTTGTCTGATGAAAAAAATTACCAATCTCATCATTATTCTAAAATAATAATTATTATTTAATATTCAAATGACTAATGATTACATATTCAACAGAAAAAAATGAAGATTCATTGTATATAAAAAAAATTCAATTTTTTTTTTATATACAATGAACCATCATCACTTGATGACTCATTATCACTGATGGAATAATAAGCATAAAAATAAAACAAGTTTTTATTGTATGAAAGTATATACCTGTAAAAGTAAAAAATTAAAAAATATAAAACGAAATGAAAAATGCGATGTGGACTTTACACTGAATAATTAAACAATGAAGATAAAAAAATATATCAGTATTGTGTTGAACAAATACAATGTATGAAGTTTAACTATTAAATAATTAACGAACAGCAGTAAAGTAATTAAAAAATAAAATCTATTTTTAAAACATTATACAAGAGATAGTGAAAAATGTCATATTTAATACATGTTTTTTATTGTTACTATTTGTCTCTATTTTATTCAATGAAAGCAAAATATTTAAATAAAGCCTTCTTTTTTTTTTATATGAAACAATTTTTCACTTTCTCTTTGAAAACATGAAATTCTAAAAAGTATAAAATATAAGCACTAAATATAATTTACCATTCACTTACACCTTTGATAATGCTGTTAAAAATATATAATGGCAATATAAACGAAAAATAATAAATGAAAAAAACGTAATGATAATATTTTATAAGCTCTAAAGTGACAAAGAATGGTGGAAGAATTTTAAACGTAAAGAATATTTCATTCAAAAAACACTGTGTGCATTTTATAAAGAAAAAACTACATCTCCATAATACCCTTGTCTGTTAGTTGAAGGTTTCTTGAGTCAAATTGTTCATCTTGTAGAAGATCAAGTCCTTTTGCACGAGTTGCATGTTGATTTACTCCTCTTACTCCAGCATACACTGGATAAAGTGGATAAAGTTGTTGAATTTTCGGATACTGTTGGAATATAATTGGTACTTTATTTGTAGCAGCTTTTGATGCTGGTTCCATAAGTATTAAACCTCTCTGTAAAGGTGTTGATGTTGCTACATCGACTATTTGCTGCTTCGGTGGTTGAGTTGTTAATTTCACTGTAGTTCCTACTGTTATTGGTTTAGAAGTACTATAATTTCGAGGCTTAGATGTAGTACCAGTTACACGATTCGAAGTCAATCCCCTTAAGCTTTGGATTGTCGGACGTGCAGTTGGCTTATTCGTAAATTTCCCATTTTTATGCTGATTTTTTATTTTACTTTTTTTAGGTGCTTGGTTTTGTGAATTTGTAATATATGGCTGGTTAACCCCACTTGGTTTTATATATTTATTTTGCTTCCCCTTGATTCCAACAGTATTTAAACCATTTCTTGAATAATTAGACATCTTTACGAATGGTTTTTTTGGTATCTTGACACTGGTTGGATTGTAGAGAGTTTGTTCAGTTGGGTCAGGTAATATTGCAGTTCCATAAAATATCAGCGACCATTCATGAAGAATCGCCCGACCTAAAGGATTTCAATCATCCGAAGATTCATTATAGTATGTTCACGAAATTCATGGCAAGGCAAAGGTTACTATCACCATTTATCATCGCTTCTACATAGAGCTAGCTTAACCGAGTTACTATTTACATATTGACAAATCAAGAATTTACCAACATATTCCTTTGAAACCTACACCACTATTGATTACTTCTCTTTGTGATATACAGAATCAAATATCAAGTAAACTCTGATCACACCCTAAAAATAAATTTCAGAGAGTCCAAATTAACTTACTAATGATTCTTATTTGATTTAAAATGTTCAGATGAATTTCCTAATTACTAAAAGTTGGAAATTTCATTATACGGGTTAGTATAATCTGGGAATTTTTTATTACACACTGAATCTTATTCGTTTTAAAGTTTTGAATTGAAAAAAAAATTTTTTTTTGCTACTTATTCTTCAAATCAATAATTAATTAATAAATCATTTTTTATGTTTTTCAACTTTTTAAATGCAATAAAATAGAACCTTTAAGCAATTTAAATTTAATACAATTCAATTAGTAAAAATCACTAGTAGATTTTACACAAAGATCAAAGCACAATGGAGCATCGCACTCAAGTAGACTTTATTTAATTTAACGCTACATTAAATTATTTAAATGTTTCAAACTACTGACTATCGTATCAACTATCCCATCAGGATTATTTTCATAAAAAATTTAATTCTTTACAAGATATTCACAGAAAGTGTAATTACCCAAATATTTCCCTTTTAAAATAGTTAATAAGAATTTCATATACCTAATTTACGCTAAGGAATATTTTATCAGTTTTTCAGCGTTAATTTTATGGAAAATCTTGTGACTCGATGAGACACCTCTAAATATCAAAATAGAGTATTATCCTTGAATAGGGTGCTTCATTGTAACATACACTTACATTCTGTAAAGTAAAAAAGAGAGAAAAAAAATATGGCTTTTTTGTACGGTTTAATCTACATAGCTACACCCTTATTCACGTACGGAAGGAAAATGTTAAACCATAAAAAAGTAAATGATTTTTGCTGATCCTAAGATCATAAATTTTTAAATAATTATACTTTTTCTATCCTATATGAGATTCAGATTTAATGCAAGTAAAAACTCCATTTTTCACAGCTTCATATCATTTGTTTAATTGTGATATGTAATCTTTAAAAAAAAATTCCCGACTTAATTTTATTCAAAAAAATAACATGAATTTAAAAGATTAAAATTATTTAAAACCCAGATGGTTTTTATACTTTTACTCGGGATAAATTTAACTTTTTACTCTGCTATATTTATTTACTGTGTTTGAAAATATTTAAATATTCAATTAACTTTGCTGTTAAATTTATATGATAATAACAAAATAGACATAAAGTTACAATTTACTGTTACTAAATTTATTATCATCTTTTCAGTATGATTAGTGAATTACTCAGAAGCTCCTTAAGGAAAAAATTCCAGAGCTAAAAACATTAGTTATTTAAACATATACGTTAATTAGTAACACCATTGTGCTAAAGTTATAGAGAAACATAACCCAACTCGTCTGAAAGTTTAATGATTTACTTCAACATGATAATAGCACATTCCCCGCTACATGGTAGAACGTGAATTGTTTTTTAAAAATAATTATATTAATTCTATACTTTCAATTATTCTTTTTGTGTTTCATTTAAATCATTATTATGAATTATGATTTAAAATTTAATTTACGATTATAAAGAAAAAAAATAATTAAAAAACTTACCAACAAATCGGCCTTCATTGTGAACTTCAAGTTTCCACGTGCCATGCGGACGTTCGCCCCATGTATGTACTGACATGAATGGCCATTGTTGGAATCCAGTCTTTGAATTATCGTGTGGTCGCTTTGCAAGAAGTGTACTTTTTGTACCTTGAGGTGACATCAATGTGATCTCGAGATCTCCTCTTCTTGACGCTGACAGTGATATTTTTGCCTGAATAGAAATATATTGCGTATATTCATTAAAGTTCTATTTCAGACAGATTTAATGTTGACGTATTTCAGCTTCTGCTCTTATCTTTTATTATGACTATTAGCATTCAATAATTCGATATATATATATATTTATTTACCTGCACGTGTTCTAAAAAGTTCACTCCAGTGCACTCTTTGACATGAAAATCTAAACTTAATTGACTTCGAGATGGAATTGATCTGAAAAAAATTATAAATACTTGACATAACAACTTATAAAAAATATAATTATCGATAATTTAAAATAAAAGGAAAACGTTAATGGAGTATTTTTAATAAAGTTTAAGTGATGAAATGTAATTTAACCTTTGTATCGAGTAATTCAGATGTTCAAGTGGAATATTTCTATTACTATAATTAAATTTAATATGCAAATTCTGGTCAATCGAATATTTCTCGAACTTTTGACTTAAATATTTTTTAAAAGTAATACCAACACTTTTAAAAGTTGTTGGTAATGACAGTAAAAAAGAAGAAGTAGAAGATCCTTTAATGTTGTTGATTCTTTTCTTTGCTTTATATCATTCTAATCAAGTTATGAAAACTAACAAACTTTATGATATAATAATTACTTTCAATGGAACATAGTAAAAAGGTGATTGAAGTGAAACTTGAAATTAATTTTAATGAATACCTGTTTTTGTGTGGAGCTAAAATTTCACATTTATGTTGTTCCGGAACGGTTTGCCACTTTTTGGCAAGTTGAACCATCGCGGCTGCATCCATTAGACCATAGCCGAAACTGTGGCTAACTGTAATAGGAGAGTTTAAATGTACACAAAAGACTTGATAGTTTGAAGGTGTGTATAACTTTCTAACATCTCAGCCAATTTAAATAGTACTCAATAGTAACTACAATATAGAGTACATTTCTGTTAGCCACACGAAGTACGACCAAAATTGAAGCACCATTTAATTTCACCAAACCATTAAATAAATTCGACAAATACAGTTGACTTACCATTTCTACCAACTCCATTGGTAACCCAATCAGTAGCAATTAAATTTGCTGGTTTTGCAGTTCTTACAACAATATGTTGCATATCCCTCCATGTAAGATCTCTATTTGCTTCAAGTGCAAGTGCACAAATTCCGGCAGCTAACGGGGCAGATGCTGATGTTCCAGTGTGACTACTCGTACATTGATGATTTAAATCTATTGTAACTATTTGTTTTTCTCCTAAGGAGCCAGAACTGTACGTGGTTGCTAGTGTCGATGAGCAAGCTTCACTATACCATGGTACTAAACCATTTTCTGTCGCACTGCTGATTGACAAGGTCCAGATGCTATTTGTGTAGCCATCACAGTTGCAATTGTCGTGTTCTCTTCCACCATTTCCAGAAGCCCAAACAAATATTGAACCTCGGCCGTTTCGACCCTAATTCAAAGAAGATAAAAATTTTTTTTTCTGACTTTTGCAAAAGTAGTTTTATAAAAGTTTTCAAGTCTATTATGATTCTTATAGAAAGATACTCTGAGAAAAAAAAATATCTGACTTTTCAACTCATAATTAATTAATTAAACCTCAGCTAGGAATAGTCCAAGTTTTACAACAGATCTTCTTTTATGCGAACAAGTTACGTAGTAAGCGACGTACCGCAAAATATTTGCATATGATTTACGAGGTCAGGTTAATTACAAAGTTAGAGCAAGTAAGTTGAAAATGGTAATGGATGCCGAAATAGATTCACTTGGGTCTCGTTAAAATACTGAAAGCTTCAATTATACAACTTTTTTGACATCAAATGAGTAAAGAAATTGTTCTGTTACTTACTACAAGGTGTCTCTTTATGTATCTCTTTTTCATTTATTTATTGAATAAAAGAAATATTTTTTTTACTAAATTTTGAGTATTCATATTTACTTTTAAGGTCTATTTTTTTTATAAGAAAATTTTCAATTAATCATCTATAGAAGATCAATCGTACTTAAATCTACTTGTATATTTACTCAACTTTAGTGTAAAAAGTCGAGAAAAAAATCTATTTCACAGATCACATTTTTAACAATTCTCAAGTGTCCTTATCAAAGTTACAGTGAAGATTTGTTCTCATGAGTATTTTAAGTAGAAAACTTCAACACTGATAAGGACTAGTTGGAAAAAATTAGGATGTGTAATTAGAGATAATATTAATTATTATTTGCAAAACATCATGAAACGTTAATTCAAGAATAAAGAAAAAATAAGATTACTTTCAGAAAATATTATTGATAAGAATAAATGCCATCGTACGATTCTTGAATTTGTATCAGTTTACTTTGGGCTTATCACTAAAAGGCATATCAGACGTAACCCATTTAGATATCACATATTTGCAACGTTCATTGCAATCTCGGAAATTGCTTGATAGATATCTTGATAAAAGTTCCTAGTATTGAGGGTACACAATGATACTAAAATTACCTTAGTAATGCCTTCCATGAATGCACGAGTAGCAAGTTCTCCTGGACCATCTACAGTCTTGCCGTCATCATCAGGACCCCAAGAAGCACTATAGATATCAATGTGCTGAGAATTGAAACTGAGAGATCTTGCTTCAACTGCATCTGTAACTTCTCCATCTAACATTCTCACTCCTACAACAAAAATAAAAGAAAAATAAATAATGAATAAAAGCAACTTTTTAACTCCATGAAACATTGAATATTATTTTCAATCTCTTTCATCTTCTTTAAAAAATCCAGTCACGAAAACAAATTAAATTATCAGTCAAGTGAGGTAACTACACTTTACCTCCAACTCCAGCACCAAAAGCAACTCCAACAGCACAAAAAGAATTATTTGCAGTGGCAGCTACTTCACCAGCGCATCTGGTACCATGCCGGTTACTGTTGAGATAATCGTATCGTGGCATCGGGTCGTCGTCATAGCTATTCACGTCGTAGCTTGCTTGTGGGTCCTATAAGAAAAGTGAGAAAGAAAAAAAATTAAATTTTCATGTGCTAAGCTAAAAAAACGTATGCTGCAAATCTGACGAGATCTATTGAATCTCGTGAGAAAAATCCTTGTGTTATTCTACTCACGTAATTCCGGAAGATATCCGGATGATCCTTCTCCAAACCGTCGTCTAAAATTGTCACGACAACGCCATGACCAGTTATGCCTTCGTTCCAAGCTGACTGAACATTCATGTCAAGACCTGGACCACGATTCTGAATAATCATAATAATAACCTCATTTAATTACAACTGCCACATAATCAATCAATAAACTATTAGCATATTACCACTCTAGGTGAAAATAATAGCATATATAATCGTGATAAATCAATTTTATAATTTACGCTTATAACGTTTCAGATAAATTCATGCAAAAATGATATTGTTTGTTATAATTAAAGTCTGCTTACCAAATACCACATTTGTGGCCATCTATCATCATTTAACACTGTTCGAAAATTTATTGGGCCGCGTTTTACAACGTAATCTCTCTTCTGCCTTGATTTAATTCGTTGCTGTTCTGCTCGTTGAACTCTTGAATCTTTCACTAATCGATGATGAATTTCCAAGTGCGGCTCCGCTGACCGTTTCTTTACTAATTTGTGGTCAAAGTGATACCAATCACCAATAATCTGTGGACAGAAAAACAGAATAAAAATTAACTACCATGACTATATTTATAGATTTATTCAAGTTATTTCGTTTTCAATATTATTGGTACTTCAACAATTCATAATGATAGAAATAAAACAATGTATAATTAATTTTCTACTTTTTATATTGGTGATCCATGTAAATTAATTGAAATGAAAAAGTTCTGTCTGTAATAAATAGCTTTTTAAAATTCTTTATAAAAGCTTTTAATTAATAAAATATTTTTTTTAATAACAGAATTAATAAAGATATTTCCTTCAGTAGAATAAATTTACCCAAGTAATTAATAGCGTAAAATTAGAACATTAAATATCTGGATAATAAATTGACTGATATTTCTCTTGACTGAAGAATGATTGATAAAATCTTTGAAGTTATAAAATGGAAATATTGAATTATTTTATTATTAAAGATTCCAGAAAGATGTATTACTAACAAGGGTGACAGTGATTTAGATTGATAAGGATATTCAATCTCTTTTACTTTACTTTTAACTATTTTTATCGTATAATTCTTCGAGCTTTTACCTCGCTCTCAGCTTCTAAATTGCCAGTATCGATTTTCGCTTAACTTTGTTATTTGTCTAGACAAGAGCTTTCCTCGTCTTTTCGATTGACGGCTCACATTTACAAATACTTAACACCATTTCGCTTAATGGCTGCAGTAAAACCACAAGCATAGATATACATGCACTCTATCGATACTTGTGGGTTCGTGCCTTGATTGTGTTATCACTTGAAAAAATGTATATACAATTTTTTTATTGGATATTGGTCTTAACAAGAGTACTCTATGTAGTAGGTAACACTAAAAACTATCGCTAATTATCAGTAAAAAAATATACTATCATTTTCTGCTCATTAAATAAAATAGTTCAGCATTTATATATGATTACTCTATCAAATATAAAATTTGTTTACAATCATTCATCTAAAATAGATACAACAATTTTTTTACTTCAGCAAAGCCCAGATAACTTTTGATTACAAGTAGAATTTAATTACGAGAGTATTCAAGTTCAAACAAGTTGTATTATTTAAAGAGTTTAATCTTTTAAAAATCTGTAGAATCCTCTTGTGTTAAAGACAATGTGAGATCTTTTGTCAGAGTTAATCCTTTAATCGTCAAATTGATTCTCACCAATCGATTGATTCTTAACATTGTTTTTAAAAAAAAAAGTGGTCAAGAAAAGATAAACAGTGATGTGAAATGAAATTAATTACATTTATTAAATAAATGTAGATATCACATAGAAAATTCGTAAACGAATATGCATATTGTTAATAATATCATTGGATTATCTGAATCATAAAAGAGAAATAATGAAGTCAAAGAGCAATACATGAAAGTTTTTTTAAAAATTGGATTAACCTTTAATCAATTTAATTAAGTTGTAAGTATTTTTGAACAGACTAAAAAAATATTTTGTTTTTTTTAAATTTAATCTTTATAAAACTAATTAAAACACTGAATATTTTCAATGAAAAATAGAAAAATGGGTGATTAATCCGTGTGGTAATATTCTCAAATGGTAGGATTAAAGTTAAAAAAGAGTGAAAATTATAAAAGTTTTTCGATAAGATGGTCAAAATTGAGCAGTAATCCTTTGAGTGATGCTATTGGGGTAATAGCATATAGTTTGAAGCTGACGTATGTTTTTTTTTTTGAAGTATACTTTCTTTATTCTATCCTAGAAGAAATGGAATCTCAGATACATCTATCATGGAATTGAACGATGCAACGTGGTGGTGGTTTGGTTATCGATAGGTTTGCACTTGCCAATGACGTGCCACTCATTCATCTTCGTTCAACATCGAAGATGGTTCTGGTTACTTTTTTTTTACAGATCTGTCAAAGAATCTCCATTAAATTGATTGATGACTCGTGGTCTTGTACGTTTTGATGAAGGTGAGAAATAAATCCCATGTAAGTTGACGTCAATCTTCAACAGCTGAGAATGAAAGTATATTTTATTTATGTATTAAGTTTTTTGACATTAAAATAAAAATGTTTTTCATTACTTTTTGATGAAAAATAATCTCAAGCTGCTTATCGAAGACTTTTTCTTATCACTACGTAGGAAGATAAATGTCATTTCCAGAGAATCTGCTTTCAAAGTAATAATCAATCGTAAAAAGTGTAGGGTCATACACGAGAATGTATTGATCGGAAAATGACACTTGGAAATTTTCATGGGGTAACTTTTTCTTTGATCTAAGACGAACTAGTGACTGGAATGAATAATGACAGTTTCTGTCTCATGTCGAATGACGCTGGTAATTTCGCGGAACATCAGACATCTCTTTCCGGTAAATGTGCGCCATTTCTCGCTTTTAAACGACTTCACAGAAGGAAAATGGTCGAGTGGTAGGACATGAAAGATACTACTGCAATCGTAAAATGAATGCTCCAAGTGTCCACAACATTTTAGTCATGAATAGTATTTGCTGCAAAACCCGTATAAGAACTTGTTTTTTTCTTCTTTCAATTTTATGAGATAAAAATAAAAGCCAAAGCGTTATAAAAATTTTTGTATGAATTTTGTGGAATTAATGATTTTAAATATTTATATTTGGGCACTTGATAAATCTTTTTTTGGTATTTATTTAATTTTTAACCGGAATTGATAATTGGCATGAAAAATATTTACTGAATCTAAAGCATTGATTTTTGTTAGTTCCATCAGGCACTACAGTTAACAATTAATTGAATGAAAAAATAACAAATAAAAGCCATTGAAATTTAGTGTGCTTCAGGCACATTTTGTCAAGCATATCAATCAGAACACTGGTTTTCATTTGGTTCAGAAATAATTGCAATTTACTTTGACGTTCAGATGTTAAAATTCAAATATCTATAAAACATGCATATATAAATAGATATTTTTATTACGGAAAATATAATTGTTTGACAAATATTAATATTCGTCACAACGTAAATACACAATTGAGAGATAAAACTAAATTTCCAACATTGAATATAATTTCATTGTCAAACTTGTACACCAAGTGTATTCAATAGTCATATAAATTATTGTTTAACACAAATCAATAATCTAACCACGTATTTGAATATGGTTTAATATTTATTGACAATTTTGCTTTATTGTTTATTGTCTCTAACTACAACAAAATGGAAACTCAATATGTTTATGTAAAAACTCGTTCCCAATTTGGAAAACAATGCATTTTCGACGACTCCGAAGCGACAGTGGAGGAAAATATTTTTCCAACTCATGAGATGATGGCGGATTATATAAATATGAATCCTGTTCATCAGAGCGCACAGATTTCCCGACAATTTACAATCCATGAGGTTAAAAAATTAATTTGTCATCCTATTGTTTTACACTCCTCGTATATTTATTATAAGTAAAATCAACATTTATATTTTAAGAAAAAAAATTATAATTAATTGTTGATATAATTATTATGTTTTTTTTACGTATTTTATGACCTTATTCTTACTTAAAAAAAAAATTCCAAGTATTCGTGATCAAAGGTACTTTATATAAATGAACTTCCTGAAACGTTTTATAGGTTTTCATGTAATTGCTTCGAATTTCTATAGGTTCAAACGAAAAGTACTGTGACGAAAGAAACGGGAATGAATCACACCGAAGGAGGTTGGCCAAAAGAAATCAATCCCCGGGATGAAGAAGTAGTGGCAAGATATCGACGGCGTATAGAAAAAGATGACATGTGGGCTCCGAGGATGCGTGAGCTTACGACAGTATATTTTCTATATTTATTTTATATATCTATTTATTTTTACAAGTCGTAAAGTCAAGAAAAGAGTGGAAATACTTTGACAGCTTAACTTTTTATACATTTTTTTTTATATTTTACACTTTGTGGAATTAATTTTTTTTTTTAACGACCATTACTTGAATCAATATTTTCTTTATTGCTTCCAAGTTTACGTGTACAGGATGAAATTATAAAAATTATTTAGAACACTCAAGGTATATGAAATCAATAATTCTTAACATTCCAGAAATATTGCAGTCATAAAAATGGAATTTCATGATTGAAAATTTTTCTTTCAATGAAATAATATCATAATAACTTCCTATAAGTGTTCAATATTTTTTATATAATTATGAACAAAGTCATAAAGCAAATAGTGATAGCTTAATCCATCAAAGGATTTATTAATCTATTTGTTGACTTACTTCATTGATATTCACCAGGAATCAAAGCTTTAATATTAAAATTACAAATAAATAGTATTCTCCAATGTAGTATTACTGCAAGTAAATATTAAATGTTTTTGGTAGCCGATGGAAAGATATGTACTCCAAAATAATGCATTGAATATTTATGAAAACTATTTTGATGATATGGCACCAACAAACTTGGTTCTTCCTCTTGGTATAAGGTAAATATCTTACTTGGTAAGTTTATGGTACATTAAATATAATTTTCCACCCAGAACTGTAAATGTCTTCGAAGATCCTGAGGCTATTTCTCAGCCAATAACTCACCTGACCTGGTCACCAGATCATGGAACAAGATTGGCAGCCTCACATTGCTCTATGGAGTTTCAAAGAATCTTTCCAGATTCGAATCTGCACTCTTACATCTGGGACATTGGTAGGAAAGTTTGGCTTGTTGAGAACAAAGTTAGCTCTGTTATTGTGTTGCTAGAAAAGCATGTGACACTAGAAGTACATCTCTTTTCAATTGTTCAGAAAATCCGAACAAGGCATTCATGGCTTTGAAAGCAGTTCATCCTTCAGTGACCATTGAATTCAATCCTCGTGATCCCTCGATGTTGATCAGTGGCTTACTATCTGGGCAAGTTTGCAACTGGGACATACGAAGCGGTAACACACCTTTTATGATGTCTCATCCTCAATTCAGTCATAGGTAAATAGAGTATAGAGCAAATTACTGTACCATGTTCGATAAAAATCATCATACAATTGAATGAGTTTAGAAGTTTTAGTTTATGATGCATATAATTTCACAATTCC